AAAAAAAAAAAGAATGAGTAAAAATGCAAGGGTGGTGGCCCTTGAATCGATCAATTCAAAATTCTGAGAACAAAATTAAAAGTGAAAGATGGAAGTAAATCACGGGAAAGGGGGAAAAAAATTACAAATTGAAAACAGGGCAAATAAAATCAAGGAAAGTCTATAAAGAGGAAAATCAATTTTGGAAACTGGGAAATGAAGCTGAAACCACAACTGTCCGCCCCAAGTCAAGGCTTTCCACTCAAGTTATGCACGCCATTTTAAAATCGTGCCATTCCAAAACAGCTCAGTGCTTACCTTGAACCTATAAACTAAAAAAAAAAAAAAAACGCAACCTGCTTGTGCAGTTTATTCCCCCCCTGTGGTGTCAAATCATTGTTCTATTTATCGTCCTATTGGGGACGTTATTATTCCAGGCATACAAAAGCGACCTCGCACGCAGTTGCGCACAACACTTGGCCACTTCCCAGGATGCCATTTGACAATCACTGGCAAACATGCCGATGTTATAATGTGATATGAAACCACTGATATTGCAGGTCGAGCCATAAATCAAAAAAATATGTCCGGCAGAATGCAACCCATACATTCCGTATTCCCACGTTAAGACCAACCTATCTAAATGGAAATAGATATTTTGGAGCTTCGGGCACTTCGCAACGAGTTGGTGGCAGCTAACTTAGCAACATCCAGCCACATCTTTGAGTTTGGATTGGAGACTTTATGATTTTAAAGCAGAGGTCCTCAACCTTTTTTGCCCTACGGACCGGTTTCATGTCAGTCAATATTTTCAGAGGCCGGCCTTTAAGGCCGGATAGATACAACATTATAATATGATATGACCTGCATTAAAAGTGTGGTATTTTCGAAACATAATTAGAAACATGAATCATGTCATCATCTGGCCGCAACATTCACTGGTCGCTATGGTAACGTTTAAACGTGCCTTCAAAATAAGATACGCCGCAAATAAAAAGTGCATGAAAAATATGACTCACCACTTGAAATAGGACTCCTGATACTGTCTATTAAATGTAGCCTTGTTTTTCTTGAAAGTAGAAGGCTCCTCTTCTGTCTCCTGGCTGGGCCTTTTCCCTTTCACGAAAAAACTTTTCAGACGTTTGTTTTTTTTATGCGAGAATTTATCGTGTGCCCGAGAAGTGCGCATTCACCTGAGTGACATACTGTAGACTGATATAACAGAGAATCCGGTAATTTTTCAAAATAAAACATCTTTCAGATTCCGAAATGAATAAAACAGAAGGAATGCAAGTTATTTATTCTTTCTGTGCGGCCCGGCACCAAATGACCCGCGAACCGGCGGTTGGGGACCCCTGTTTTAAAGAGGCCATAATGTAATGTGCCTGACGCACGTGGATTTTTGTTGTTGTTGTTGTTTTTTTTGGTGGGGTGGTGTAAATATTCGACAGAATAACATTCAGATAACTGATTAATTGTGCGATTAATTATAAAACAAAAAGGGATTGCTTGATTGATCACTTAACGCTTCCAACAATAATGACATGAATTATAGGCCAGCCATTTGACTGTTTTGCATGACTTTGTACCTGAGTATTAAACTTTGCAGAGACAAATTTGCAGGGTTTTTTGGGGGGTTTTGTTTTTTTGTTTTTTTTTTGTGAGGTGCCAGTGTTTGAAAGTCATTCTCGGCAAAAAAGTAGGCTGGTCTGTTGTTGGCTCAGGCTAATGGCTGAATGTCGAGCTTGGGAAAGAGGAGAAACTGAGGAACTGCTGCCAGGAACTGTCAGATGCTCAGGTCATTGTGAACAGGTGCATTGTCATGGTGAAGCAGCCATGAAGTATTCTGCCAAAACTCTTTTTTTTTTTTGTAGTGTGGGTTATAAATATCTCAAGTGACACCAGCCCTGCAACTTTTCTGACACACCTCATGTTTTGGTTGTGCATGAAGTGCAATCGGGTCCAGGTGACATCATTTCCCCCCGCCCCCCTACAATAAAAGCCCTCAGGGGTGATCCCACCATCCGCCCAGCTCCTCCCCCGTCCGGAGACCTTCATGGGCGTGACGCACAACACTGACTACTGTGTTTCACCGTCGGGTGCTGGCAGCCAATCCGAACGGCGAGCCAGTGCAACCTCATGGCAAGGCGGAGCCTTCATAATGGCTCCATTCACACGACCAGGGGGAGTTGTTCTGTGTCGCTATGCTTGCCCAGTGCGTGCATTGACGTCAGCTCGGTGGTGATCTCTGCCGGCCTAAACATGATCAGAACCCCCCCCATCAACATTTGCAGGCTGAATTTGAAAATTTGTATCCATTTATATTCCCAGCGATCGATTTTTTTTTTTTTTTTTTTTAAATCTTGTAGTGTTTCTCCTGGCTGGGCTGCTTCTATGACATATTTTATTGTTTTTTGGCTCCCTTCGTTGTTCTTCCAATTAGTGATCTGTAGGGTTTAGGTCTGGAACATCGAAAACCTTCGATTTGTCGTGCCAGTGTTGTTTTAAATCAACACTCCATCTGGAAAATTGACTTCTCCACTCCAAAAGCTTTGACAATGTGTTTTAAATCCGTGCTTGACTTGGTTTAAGTCTGTGGATTGTTTTAAATGCATGCTCGATAAGATTTAAGTCTGGGGACAGACTTAGTTGCTCTAAAACTTTCTACTTCTTGCCCCTTGATGGTGTTTTGACAGGGTGTTTTAAATGTGTGGGTTCAAAGCGGGACATTTTCTTGACCTTTGTGTTAAATAAACGCTCTTTAGGGTTTAAGTCTGGAGATTGGCCTCGCCAGTCAAGAAGTCTTCTACTTCTCACCTCTGATATCGTTTCAACAGTATGTTTTAGACGCGTGCGTGACAGGTTTCAAGTCAGGAGACTGATTTGGGAAGGTCTCAAAACGGTCCACTTCCTGCCTCTAGTTGAGGTCTGGAGATTGATCTTGTTTTGGTGTCCCCAGGTTAGTATGGTCGCATCTTTCTTTTAATAGCGAGAGCAAATATGTCTGTTGACTTCTGAGTCATTTCCTGTTTGACAGTTGCGCTCGCGTGGACGGTCTGTTCTTCCTCCCTCGAAGCGCTATCTTTTCTGTCGGTCCGTTAAACGTCGTCTAAATGTTTTCAAGCAAACGTTTAGACAAAAGTTAATCAAGATAACGAGAGTGAGTATGCTCATCACTCTTACAGTAAGATGGCTGACAGCTTATCGGTGCCTGCAAGCTGTGCTGTTATTGCATTACCGCCTGGCAAGCTCTCTGGTTGTTTGGCCGGGGAGACACGAGACCAGTGATCATGTGCAGCCTTCCGCGAGGAAAACGCACACAATATTGGATCGTATTAAAACCGCTTAGAGAGTAATTGAGAGGAAATCTTGTTGGGTGTTTGGGCCGTGAAGCGAGATGAGCCGTTAAAGCAAGAGAAAGGGCCACATTTTGTGCTCGGGAGCCTCGTGCGAATCGTACAACACGAAACAGCGATTCGAGGAGTCTGGATCATGTTTCTGAGTTGCATTGTATGGCGGCTGCCGTTTTGAGGTGTGAACGCAGATGGCGGCGCTGAGCATCCAAACGCCGCCGCGACGTGTCAACCCTCTTCTGCCAATCACATCGCCGTCTTCCTTCCCGTCCCATTCTGTCGTGCGTGTTTCCAAGGTAACTCCAAGGGAAAACGGCAGAAAAAGATCATCTACAGGACCCAGAACTACCTGAACCAGTACGCCGCCGACGGCCTGCGCACACTTTGCATTGCCAAAAAGGTAATTCGGTGAGCTCGGACAAGCTCCGATTTGGAAGCTAGAAGCGGATGATCCCGCCTGTGCAAAGCCGTGGCATTCCTCATGACTCACCCGCGATTCTCGACCACTATCCCACATGGCTGATTTACGCCTGTGCGAAAACCGTCACCACCGTGTGGCCATAAAACATGTCGCTGGAAAACTATTTCAGTATTTATTTGATAACCTTGCTATTCAGCTTAAGGTCCACGTACTCGTCTCCTCTTTCTCTTCACGAGTAGGACAACTCGACCCGACTCAACTTTATACATAAGAGTACTTTAAAATTACCTTTGGCGCGAACAAATTGCTTTTCATCGGGTAAAAAATATATTGCTCTAGGGTGCCTCGTTGTTGGCCATAAGTGTGAGCACATCACAGAGGGAAGGGAAAAGAGTTTAAAGTCGCAAACATTTTTAAAAGGGTGTGACAGCCAGCATGACAACAAGGTCGATATACAGTAGAGTGCCTCATTGTTGTGACATGGAAAAGCCCCGCGATAAGTTCTTCCAGCATCTTGAAGGCTTTCGGCAGATCTACTGCGTTGCCACAGGTCAATCATACAGTTCCGCATGTTGGTTCACAACGTTCTACTTTGTGGCAGGTCAAATTTACAGCACATTCAGTTTCACTTTACAGGGGCTTTAAAATGGATATCACGGATATCCAATAAATACTCAAATGATTTTCCATAAAGCCACTTTTTATATTACCGTTGAGGCAAAACTGCGCACGAGTTGACAACCGCTATTACGCTACTAGTACTACCAATAACATTACACGATTCTGCTGGCACTTTGCTAGTTGTGCCGATGTCAATGAGTGCACCATTTTGCCGAGCAGTTGAGAATAGTAACGCTACTTGTGCAGCAAATTGTTTTGTTTTCTACTAGTAGGCTGAAAGGCACTAGTACAGGAAAAAAACCGCCCGTCATTGGGTTCAAGACGCCAGGGCCTTGCCCGGATCAAATTCTTTGCTCTAATTTGCAACCCCCGTGTCCGCCAGGTTCTGAGCAAGGAGGAATACGCCTGCTGGCTGCAGCGCCACCTGGAGGCAGAGACAGCCATCCAAGGTCGGGAGGAGCTGCTCTTCGAGTCGGCCCTGCGTCTGGAGACCAACCTCCAGCTCCTGGGTAAACTCGTACTCAGTCGAGGCCGTATTTACCCGAATGGTGGCCTTTGTACTGAGTGGAGATGGATGGACAATTTATTACAACATGACATGTATTTATTTATACATTATTTTATATTTTTATATTTTTTGGTGCCAAAAAATGCCCAAAAAAATACAAATGTGTTTGTGATATATGATTTTGAATACAAATCCTTATTTCATTCATTCATCTATTTATTTATTTATTTTTGTGGGCGAAATATTTTCCTCACAGGTGCGACGGGAATCGAGGACCGGCTGCAGGACGGCGTGCCCGAAACCATCGACGCCCTGCGGAAGGCCGGCTTGCAGATCTGGGTGCTGACGGGCGACAAGCAGGAAACGGCCGTCAACATCGCATACGCCTGCAAGCTGCTGGACCCCGAGGAGGAGATCTTGACTCTCAATGCCGACTCCATGGTGAGCCAGACGGGGATCTCGGAAAAGTCTTTTCGTCTTTCAAAGTTGCAAACTGACACCTGGAGAAACAAAAATCAAATTGGGTGGAAACATCCAACAGCAAGTCACGAAATCAAAAACAAAATTGAAAATGATATATTTATGTAATTATTCATTTGTGATGTTTTTTTAATTGCGATGACACTGTTGTTGATGTTGGCTTCAATTCCTTCAAAACTTTTTTTTTAACTTTTTGACTCAATTTTGTTTTTCCTTTTAATGTATTTAAAAAATATATTTTCTTTCCCTTTCGTAATGTTTCCTATGGTGACTTTATCGTTTCCTTCATTTTTGTAACATTGTTCTTGTTTCCTTTCAATTCTTCAACCCTTCCTTTATTTTGACTTTTTTTTTTAATGGAATTGGCACCTTTCCTTGGAATTTCATTCATTTTTACTTGGTGATTTTTCAAAAAATATTTCCTTTAGGTCTTGATGGTTCTTTTTGTGTGTGAAATGATCTTATCTTTCCTTTCAACCCTCTTCATCATCCTTTAAGCTCTTTTCGGCTTATTAAAAGCAAACCAACACTGTCTCTTTTTTTGTCCCATGCTCATTTTTTTTTTTTTTTTTTTTAGTACTTGTGAAGCAGCTTCATGTTGCTCCAGCTTTTGATCCAAGCCGTGCCTGTTTCTTTTGAACTAGGAGGCTTGTTCCCTGCTCCTTGAGGAGAGTTTACACTACATCCAGGCCAAATTCCTGTGCGGCTCGGCCAAGGCCTTCCATGCCGACTTCGCCCCCTTCCACATCTATCCGTCTTCTCCTCCTCCTCCTCCGCACTGGTCGTCCTCTCACGCCGCCGTCCACCGGCTGGGTTTGGTGATCGACGGCCGCACCCTGGCCTACGCCCTGGACCGCAGCCTGGAGGACAAGTTCCTGGCGGTGGCGCGCAGTTGCCGCTCGGTGCTGTGCTGCCGATCCACGCCACTGCAAAAGAGCATGGTGGTCAAGCTGGTGCGCAACAAGCTGAAAGTCATGACTCTGGCCATTGGTAAGTAGCTGCAGACAAGTCTTTGAATGCAGTCATTCCATATTCTTGATATCCACTCTAAGGTCCGTATACGAGTACGCTTTTTTTTTTTCCTCTTCACTGGTAAGCAAAAGTGGGTCGAGTAGCCATTAGTTGTAATGAGAGAACTGTTACTTTACAATAATATGACTCAAGTAAAAATCTCAGGAATCACCATCAAAAGCAAAAAATGAAGTCACCAAAAATATATTTAAAAAAAACCCTGTTATTTATTCAATGATCATATTTCCTAGGCGACGGAGCCAATGATGTCAGTATGATCCAGGTAGCTGACGTTGGCGTGGGCATATCGGGACAGGAGGGCATGCAGGTGAGTCCTTCTGTTTATTTCTGTCGTGCAAGGTGGCGGCCATCATGAACGCTTGGAACAGCGCTGACGTGAAATAATAACGGCAATATTAACCAAGAGTGCCAATGATGGCAATTGCTGCCAACTATGGATTTTTTTGGGGGGGATGGGTGGAGAAGAGTCTTGGCCAATTGTAGTTACTCCTTCAGCTGGGAAAGGAAGAGAAACAAACTAATAAGCAAAAAAAAATATTATCATGAACGTCCTTGTTCTGCTTGAAAACTCATTTTCTCTGCTTTTTAGTCAGAAACCCATGTTCTACTCCTGATTACGACAGAATGGAAAAAAGCTTTTTGACTGTGGACTATTTCCAGTCATCGTGCTCACTGCTATTTGTTCAAGGTGGCTGAAGGACGCCTTTAATGGCTGTTAACGGTGTGTTTTACAAACCTGGCGGGCCCCTTTATTTGGTCGGCGCTCGTTTACAGTGTCCACATCCATGCTAATATCACACGGAGGTTACAGCCATCGTAATCATCATCGTCATCCTCGTATATTCCTGCTTAGCTCGCCTTTCCAGGAAGGTGATCTTGCATAGCAATAACGGAGACTCCCAATTAACTCTCAGGGGCATAGCGCATCTGTTAAAGACTCCCATCTGTAACGGTGGGGGTGTGGGGGGTGCGCCGGATTAATCACCGTTAGCCACAGGCGCTCTTAAAGGGATAGCGCTGACTCCCACGTGTGGTCAGACGCCTGTTTCACCGCCATAGACTTACTCGCTATCACCCTATGATGAACCTGCTCCCCGTCCGCCCATTGAGACGGCGCTTATTAGAGATCAGCAGAAAGCCAGGAGAGCTACGCTACCAGGTTGCTAACGCTTGACCATGTCACCAAGGGTTAGCGCCGCCAATTACAGTGTGGGCCTTTGAGGGAGCGTTTTGATGAAAGGATAGTTTCAAGCTAACGTAGGTAAGTATAGAGAGATAATATTGATTCCCACCCCTCCTATCGATACGCTGATTGCCAGCTAAAGAATCCAACAAACGAAAATAATTCTGTCATGCGTCACCGTATCTAGTATGTATAACTGAGGAAAGGCGTTAATAAATCCAGTGGGATATCAAACAGCCAAAATACCGAAGCAGTGGCGCCTTGAGATACAAGAACCCAATGTTGAAGTTTTACGAGGTGCTAGCCGTTGTTTGTCCGAAAAGTACACCGTTTGTAATCGTATTTAAAACAACCACATAGGTTTGCTTGACGTAAGTCCGTTTAGCTTGATGCTAACAAACAATGCAAAACCCCAAAGGCGGGTTGACGAATGACGACTTTATCGCGGTATTATTACACTTTAAGCAACAGATACTGTATTGGAACGCAAACGGTGGCGCGACACATGAAGACAGACGAAATGAAAATACCTACAGGCATATATTTTTCATCCTTTGCAAAAAAAAAAGAAAAAAAAACACAAATATTAGTGCAGCTTACTGACTCAGTTGTGAAAACTCTTGAGATATAGGTGTCTGAGTTACGAGCTTGGCTTTGGATGTGAGCAAGAGGCTCTTGTACCGTTTGCGAGGGAAGTCTCTCCAGAGCATGTGCGATGTGACTTGTGTGTTGTCTCGCAGGCGGTGATGGCGAGCGATTTTGCCCTGCCACGGTTCCGCAACCTCCAAAAGCTTCTGCTGGTGCACGGCCACTGGTGCTACTCACGCTTGGCCAACATGATCCTCTACTTCTTCTACAAGAACGCCGTACGTCGACGTCACTACACACGAACCGCACATGCTCTCTTTGCCCTTAAAGAGCAGCTTAAAAAGAAGAACAACAACTGTGTCTTAGTTATATATATTTTTTTTTTCCTCCATTGTTTGATTCTTGGCTCAGATGTTCGTGGCGCTCATCTTCTGGTATCAGTTCTACTGCGGCTTCTCGGGCTCGGCCATGATCGACCAGTGGTATCTGATCTTCTTCAACCTGATGTTCTCCGCCTTCCCGCAACTCATCACCGGCACGCTCGACAAGGACGTGTCGGCCCAGACGCTGCAGCAACTACCTCAGCTTTACATCAACGGACAGAACTCGGAGGTGGGTGTCTTTCCACTACTTCACCCCTTGAATCGTTGTCCTTTTTAAGTGACTTTTGCTGGTTAAAAGATTTTTTTTTTTTTTTTTTTGGTCAAAAGATGCAAAAGCCTGGCATGGCCTAAGGAATCAATACCGTTATTTATATATACATTTTTTTTTTTAATTGTGAAATTGTTAAAAATTAGCGTTTTGGGAAAATTCAGAAAAAAAAACTGAAAATTGGTGGGTATGTCAAACAGGAGTCGACCCACAAAAAGTTGCGGGAAGCTACATCCGTAAAAACTTGCAAAGTGTGCCATTTTGGTGGTCACAAACAATTCAGTTTTTATTGTGAAAATGTCCAGCCTCTTAAAACAGTTTAAATTAGCAGGAAAAAAAATCTCAAAAATGAATGCATCAAAAAACATACAGAATCTGCTATTTTGGCTCAAAACTGTCATTTCAGGCCTAAGGAAACAATTATAGATTTTTTTTGGGGGGGGGGGCGGTTAAAAATGTAACCCAAAAAATCATTTGAGGCAAATTCAACCACCCAAGCCAGCTTAATTTCGCAACATGAAATTTGCTGGATATGTCTATGAGACGTAGACCCACCAAAAAAGTCTCAAGAGGACATGGCTGAAAAAACACACAAATTCTGGCCTTCTAGTTGGAAACTGGCCTGCAGATTGAGGGGAACTGTCAATTTATGGACGCTTTTGTTCACTTTCAAGGAATACAAGCCATACATGTTCTGGATGAACATGATTGACGCTTTCTACCAAAGTCTGGTCTGCTTCTTCATTCCTTACTTTGTGAGTGTCCCCGCCGCCAGTCTCATTTCTCCATCGTCGACCTTCCTGCTTTTAAAGTCATCCCTCGTTTCCTCCCCAGGCTTACGCCGACTCAGATGTCGACCTGTTTACATGGGGGACCCCCGTCACGACCATCGCTGTGTTCACCATTCTGCTGCACTTAGGGGTGGAGACCAAAACTTGGGTGAGAAAACTCAGTCCCGGGGGAAGACTCGTCATGTGCATCGTGTCTAAGCAATGCCTCTCGTTCCAGACGTGGATGAACTGGCTATCCATCTGCTTCAGCGTGGCTCTCTTCTTCACGGTGGCGCTGTGCTACAACGCCTCATGCCCCACCTGCTACTCCCCCTCCAACCCCTACTGGACCATGCAGAGGCTGCTGCAGGACCCCACGTTTTACCTGCTCTGCCTCATCACGCCAGCGGCCGCACTGCTGCCCAGGTACGGAGCACCCGACAGCTTTGTTAAACAGATTTCAAAAAATAAAATAGCAGTGTGTCCTGTAGGAATGAATATATAACGTCATCAAAGGCAATGCAGAGAAATAAAACGCTCTTATGAAGTCACACTTACACGGTAGCACAGTTTTCCTGACGCATTTACGGTCTACGGTGCAGAAAATCTTTCCCCATCGACTCTCAACGAAAATTTGACATGTGCGGTCGCACCTCTTCAATACAATAGCTTGGGCCAAGGTGGGGCGCGACATTCCAGCGCCGTGAACGTTTTGACGCTCCAGTCTGATCTCCATCGGTCGCCTAAGCGTCGGCATGGCTCTCCGGATGTCTGCAGACAGTTTGTCTTTGTCTCTTACACACGCAGCGCTTCCACATTCTGTGTGGACTCTCGGCCGAATCCTCAATTCGCTCGCTGCATGCCAGCACCGCTATTTATTTCTTTCAAGTTTCACGTCTCATTGTACCTCTCCCAACGTTGAAGGTAAGTTTGATCACTATCTTACTCTCGTGACTTGTTGTGGTCGTGCTGACGCAACTCGTGCAGAAAGAGTGAAGACTTAAAATCATGAAAACGTGGGTGTCAAACTCATTTTTGTCGTGGGCCACATTTTACTTTCCATTTCCCTTGGAGGGCCGTTATCACTGGAACCACATGTTAATAATAACGGTTTCTTCAACTATAGTTTCAGTTCCTGTCAAGAGGTTTTCGGTAACAAGAAAATGCTTACAATATGTCTCTTATTTATTACATTACATATGAGACTTTTAAATTTTGGTGGAGATTTTAGCAAGCATCGTGGAAGTTGACATGTTTGATTTGCTTTCGCGGGCCACATAAAATGATGTGGCGGGCCAGATCTGACCCCCGGACCTTGAGTTTGACACCTATGCATTATAACGTATTTGAGAAAGGATCAAAATAAGAGTGACGTCTATCTCTGTTTCCTGTAAAACTAACATATACATGTAGTGTGTGTGTGTGTGTGTGTGTGTGTGTGTGTGTGTGTGTGTGTGTGTGTGTGTGTGTGTGTGTGTGTGATTGAGAAAGTCCTAATTTGCTAGAAAAGTCGGGAATTGTAACAACATTTTAATGTTTTAAGCGTAATATATGTACCGTACCATGCTCCTTGTGGGTGTTTTCATTTTGTGTTTGGCTGAAAGTGCATCAGCGACCGCAGCTTTGCATTTGTTCTCTCGTCGCACAACCCGTGGCTTATCCAGCGCTCACCTGTCAAAAAAAATTTGGGGCTCGGGGTGTGAAGTCGAAAAACTGACCAAGCGTGTGCGTTGCAGATATTTCTACCGGGCGTGTCAAGGCACGATCTTTCCCAGCCCGGTGCAAGTGGGGCGGCAGTTGGACCGGCTCCCCGCCAAAGACCCGCACGGGAACATCCTGAGCTTGAGCGGAATCCAGACGGGCGCGCGGCCCGATCCCGAGAGAAAATCCTCCGTCGCCAAAGACCCCCGCCGCCCTCGTGAGGAATCGCAGCGTCCCGACGCCAGTTTGTCGGTCCGGATCGACCTCCCCGCCGAAGGAGGCGTCAAGTACACCAAGAACTCACAGGAGAGACTCAGCGTCGGGTGAAGTGCCATCCCTCCCCCGCCCCTTTGTCCAATTTGCACGTTTTTTTATGACATGTTTCCAAAGAGCTTCTTTTATAAAGGATGCAAATAGGTACTTTATTTTATCTAATGTTATTTAGGGGGGCGGTGGGCGGAGTTAGAAGAAGAACTGGATGTTCTTTTTATTTGCCGGGAAAGCTTCATTTTTCACAGAAGATGCATCTCAGTACTGGCTGGGTCTGAAACGATGAACATATTTCCTTTTTTTTTTTTTTTTTTTTTAAACGTACAAAGTGCTTTGACGCAACAGTGGCCTTGATTGCGTCTTTCTAAGAGGACTTCTTTTCAGCACACAGTGACCTCGGTTCATTGCAGTGTTAGTGCCGCACTGAAAAGAAAGAAAAATACTGAAATGATGAGGCGGAAAAAAAGTCATAAAAGGGCAAGTTAAAAAAATATATATATCTTACACGATAAGAACAAGAGGGTTGAGGTTTGAAGAAAAAGTCGTATTATGTCGAATTTTGTTGTAAAGCCCCCCCCAAACAAAAAGTTTTGAAAGAAGTCAAATTTCAAGAATAAAGTGACGACAGTTGTTAATCGCTTTCACTAAAAGTTGTAAATTGAGTAAAAGTCATAACTTGTGTAAAATTACACTGATTATTATTTTTTAATTTTTTTTTTTGAACAAAAGTCCTATATTCCCAGAAAAGTCATAAATTGTTGAACAATTTTTAATTGGCTAGAAAAGTCTTAAATTACAACACTAAAATACAAAGTCGCAAACTGAAGAAAGTTAAATTTTATTCAACTAATTTTGCAAATTACAGGAAAAAGTCAAAAGGAAAAAAAAACAAAACAAGAATAGTCACATTCAAAGAACAAAGTCATGAATAAAATGCTACATTTTAAAGTTGTTAAATATTAGGGCACATTTGTACAACTTCAAAATCAACCCCCCCAAAAAAGTGAAGTTATTTCATTGTGAATTTTTTCTCGGATTGGTTCCACTTCATTTTCTGACTTTATTCTCCTCATTTTTTTTTTCCTTTGTAGTGCGGCACTAATACTCGCTCATGTACAATTTGTCCGATCATTTTACTGGATGTATGCTAACGCTAATGTCTCTTCTATGCATTCCAGTGAGAAATCCAAAGACATTCCAGCCAAATCTTGCGGGACTGATGCTTATTGTTTCATTGTGTTTTAACAGTGTTTACCAAAGATGCCTTGACCGCCGCAACTTGCGGCCGGGAGACTTAGCGTAGACTAGCCTAGCTTAGCCTCGCTTCATTTAGTTACGCAACTCTTCCCAGCTGCGTCTTCATATCTTATTTTTTTTTCATATCCAATTAAGCTGGGAATGAAGGCAACTGCCTCGTTTTGCCCCAAAAAACAAATCACGTTAAGCTGGCAAACAATTTTACTTGAAAGTTTCAAAAACATATTTTCTGTGCTCTTGTTCAGCTGGAAAAAACAAAACAAAACAAAAAAAACAACAACAACAAAAAAAAAACTAAACCATTTGACTGGCCAAAGAGAAAAAAAAAAAGTTAAATGCACTTTGACATTTTCAGACGTTCCGTTTGGTTCCCAGGAAGAAACGACGTGGTCGTTGAATACATCATTGTTCATGTATGTTGTATTTTCCACATATGTGCCTTAACACTGGATAATAAATGTTATCGTTCCCCGTTGAGGAAAGCTGTTTTTGCATACAATGTTTTTTGAAGTCTTTTTCCTTTTTGGACTTTTCCATCTATGTGTAATTGACACGCACCCAACACGGTTGGCAAATGCCGTTATGGGTTACTACATGGTGACAAAGCATTTTTTTGTTTAATTAGACAAGGCTATGGTCTGACCAAATGAAGCGCCTCCCCTGAGTGCAACAGTATCCATTGGCCACAAGATGGCACCAAAACTATATTTATTACATTATACGTTCGTCTAATAATTAGACGAATGTATAATATAATAAGAATTTCAATAATGTATTTTTATATAGACAAAATCTGGCCTGTGGTGGGGGTCAGGGGGAATGGGGGCACAATTTTGTACTCAAACATTAATAACATTGACAACTAATGATTGAACCAGTCACTGTTCAAACTCGTCAAATGGGAGTCAGCACACCATCATTTACGTGCCTCCGATTAACCCCAGATAAAAGCCAGATGTTCTAGTAGGCTTTTCCTGACATTGTTTGACCTTCTACGCTGCAGTGAAACCAAGACTTAAATCTTTGGCTCTAATTTCAAAAAGTGTCTGTCATTTTGATTCGTGTCTTCTGGCTTTCGGCGGCCAGGCTGCTACTTATCACTTTGTCGCATTTAGAGAAGGACAAGAGCAAACCTTGACACATAAAGATTGAATCGCGCTCACACAAAGGCATCTTCCTGTTGCCTAGCAACCAGTCACGATTACCACCGCCGTCTCTGGCCTTCGGTAGGTGCTCAGAAACAGCACGAACAAAACAGATCTCTCGTGTAGCATCGCAACAGTGAGTTAGCGGCTAAAGTTAGCCTCCAATAACAGCTCTGCAAACAAACGTACCACGATGAGGGCCCACCGGGGACGGTAGTCACGATTACCTCTTACACAAGCAATGGAAAAGCGCTCATACACAATGACTGTTTCGTCCCTAAACAAGAGGAGTACTAGTTAAAGTAACTGTAATATTCGTAAATGTATAGAGGTAACATAAGTAATCGTACTGTAAGTAATAGTAGTCGTTTTACTATTAGACAAACAGTAAAAGCGGCAGTAGTTGTAGTAGCCGTAAACTAAGCAATAGTAAGATAAGTAGTTGTAGGAAAAGTAGTAGCAGTAATGGTACTCGTAGTCAAATAAGAGACAGGAGTAAAATAATTAGCGCTGCTATAAGTAGTGACGGAAGTACAATAATAGAGGGAAGATCAGTAGTAGAGGGCGATTTGTTTTATAAATTGAAAAAATCGGTAGTTGTAGTAAAAGTAGTAGTACTGGTATTTAAGTAAGTGAGAGTAGGAAAATGTGCAGCAGTACAAGAGCACGCGTGTGCCATTAATCCCAGTAACTGAGATGAATTGGAGTCAACTTACCTGTTGAAGCATAAACGTCGTACAGCTGACTTGGCGTCTCGCAATCGAGCAAAGTTGCTCACGTTCACATCTTCGTTTCAGATGACAACGTCAAACTTGGCCAGTGGATAAGACTCAAATCGTCTCTTGCGCAATACTAATTGTCGACACGTACACGTGTTTGATAACGTGATCTGTGATGTGGTTGAGAAGGAACATTACTGATTTTTATTTTGTCAACTACCAATTCAAAACTAAAGTAAAAGTCAACAACAACATTTTCCGTTGTTACGAGTGGCTTGCGCCACGTGAGCGCGCCGCCATGTTGTGGCAGGTGGCGTCCACTCCTACGCGTGGCCGGCCGCAGATGGCGAGAACACTTGCGACAAGAACAGCACACACACCAGCTGGAATTTGTCTGCGTGTTTTTATAAAGTCAACACAAAATGAAAACAATGAAAAGTCCTGTGGTCAGTCTGGGGGGAAAAAAAAACAAAAACATCAAAGACGCACACGCCAAATTTATCTTAGCATCCATGCTAACTTCGGCGTTGCAGAATGCAGTGGAACCTCTAATGGTGAACGACCTCTCCCGACGCCCATACCCGAGATGAATTTTGGCGAAAGAAGTGGGGTGCACCCAAGACTGGTCACCAGCCAATTGAAAAACAACCATTCACAGTCAACCCTTTGGACATTTTGGAGCCTGTAATTTAAAAAAGAGGACTTTTGAGAAGTTAAGCGGTACACGTCCTGGACTGATCATTGGCCAATCGCACGAACGACCATTCACATTTAGACCATTTTGAATCTGATGACTTTGGCAAAAGAAGCACGATGCACCTTGGAGTGGTCACCGATTATTCTCAGGGCACATATAGACAAACGACAGTCACATTCACACCTATGGGCAATTTAGTTTTATGGATCAATTTATTAATTTATAACTAATGATTTATGGCAAGAGAAATGTGATACACCTTGGATTGGTCGGCAGTCAATCTCAGGGCATACATATACAAATGACCACTCGCACTTACCCCCTTGTACTATTTAAAGACCTTAAATAACCTTAGATTAATTTTGGCGAGAGACGTGTGATACACCCTGGACTGGTCGCTGTCCTGACATCATTTCCGATGAGAAAAACATTACTTTGATGTGGCGTTTGACCTTAGAGACTCCACTGTACGTGGCATCGTAGCGACTGTACGCCGAGGACGATCTGGCGGCCGTGCCGTTGACATGGGTGCTCGCGCGTCTGCAACGTGACCCGTGTCCGAGCGTCTCACACACACATACACACACACACACACACGTTAATTGACGTAGTAGAGCCAGTAGACAACGTTAAAGAAGGAGAAGGAGAAGGGGAAGATGAAGCGGGACCACCGGTCAATGGCATTGACGTCCGTCAGGTCGGGGATTTTAATCTTCAACTGCGATGATCGCCTTCTCAGGCGGCTCCTCCTCCCGTCCGGGCCGGGGGGACGCGCAGCCCGCCCGCCGCGCCTGTACTGCACTCCGGAGGAGTTGTCCAGCGGGACCGGGGTGGAGTTTGCCGTGGCATCGTACAGGCTGCTGGTGGTGCTGCTGCGGGTGCTGCTGGTGGTGACGGTGTGGACGCCCACCTCGTTGCGGATCTCCAGTGTTGTCAGCAAGATGTTGCCCTGACAGTCGGCCTGGGGGTGGAACACACCAAAATTACCCTCAAACTTGGATAAGACTATATCTACCTATCTATCTACCTACTTACCCAGTCTATCTAGCTAGCTAGCCATGTAAGATAGACAGATAGCTAGCTAGCTATAGTGATCCAGCTATTTTATATACCTCCCTAGCTAGAAAGCTATCTTGTCTGTCTGTCTAGCTAGCTACCTACCTAGTTAGATTATCTACCTATTTTATGTAGCTAGCTAGCTACCTAGCTAACTAGATTATCAACCTATTTTATGTAGCTCGCTAGCTATAAGTGTCACGCTATCTCATCTTGCTTTCTATCCATCCATCCATCCATTTAATGGCAGAGGTCTTCACCTTGGGGCGGTCAAAAGAGGCGCGGTCGTTGTTGGCCTTCTGCGCCCGCTCGGCCAGCTTCTTCTGCATGCGCGGGCCACGCCCGAAGAAGATGTAGTTGACGAAGGCGTACTCCAACAGGGCCAGGAAGACGAAGACGAAGCAGCCCATCAGGTACATGTCGATGGCCTTGACGTACGGGATCTTGGGCAGCGTCTCCCTCAGGTGCGTGTTGATGGTGGTCATGGTCAGCACCGTGGTGATGCCTGCCAACGCAAACGGGGCCCCCGTTGACTCTTCCTTACTGCTGCCTTTTCCAGCGAGACATATTAACAATGCGGACAAGACAAAATGTTCCTTACATGTGTTTTAAAGCGACTGTTTTGCCAGTGTTGCTTCTCGACGTGATTAAAACAATCCACTTATGACTTACTGCTGCTTTATTAGTGCTGCTTGAAGACGTGTCATAAAGCAGATTTGTCCAACTATTCCTTCCTATGCTTTATCAGAGCCGTTTCTAAACATGACGCTGTCAGAATACAACAGTTTATTTCCCGTTGCTTTACTTGTGCTGATTAAAGACATCATGAAGCGGAGCTGTCTTCCTATTCGAAACCGCGCTTTATCAGTGCAGCTTCTGGACGTGTTATGCGACTAAACCAATCCCATTTTTTTTTTCTCATTGCTGCTTTACGAGTGCAGTTCCGCCGCTTGTTCAACTCCAGACTCGTCCAACTGTTTCTTATTGTTCCTTGAAGGTGTTCGTACCAGGCTATGAAGTAATCTAAAAATATATCGATCCACCATTTTAGAAATGTTTCTCTGCGTCTCCTGCCTGGACCGCGATTCCATTTCTGTGTCTGGAGTGCTGTTGTGTTCGTGGGCCCAAAATGTAGCGCTTGAACAGTGTGTGAGGGGGTGGGAGTGGAGAGCCGTGTGGGTCCATGCCATCGATTCCCGCTTGAGAGCCAAGAACAAGAACAGTGGCGCAAGATTGACACAGATTAAAGCAGCAGTACGAAATAATGATTAAAAAAAAAAAGATTTGGAGTGGCTCTGTAATGTTGGAGCGGCCAGGGATATCTTTTGTGTTTTCACTTTCCGCTGTAGCACTTATGTTGTTGTTCTGATGTTTTTCGGCAGACGATCACCGTTAGCGTATCGCATGCGCGCTCATTCGTTTGAAAGCGTTGACCTAATGCGACTCTGGCGGCCGAGGCGTCGTAGTTGATCCAGAAGGAGACCCAGGACAGGATGGTGATCAGGATGGAGGGCATGTACGTCTGCAGGATGAAGTAGCCGATGTTCCTCTTCAGCTTGAAGCTCAGAGACAGACGAGGGTAGGCACCTGCACACGCACACGCGCACACACACACACACACACACACACACACACACACACACACACACACACACACACCCCATTGACTCTCATTTAAGTTGTACATATACAAGAGATAGGAGCATGGTGGGGCGCAGCTCCCTTTACGTATGACAATCCTCCCCACTGAAAAATATTATAGATTAGAATTTTATATTTCCAAGCGTTTACCAGTGGAAAAGACCACGTTCCTGGAAACCAGCTTGTAGTCCACGATGGAGAACTGCGGGAGCTCGATGCGCGTCACCCCCGTCACGGCCGTGTCACCTCCTTTCCAGTAGAACTCGATGTCATCCGTCGTGTATCCGTCTGTCACGTGTGTGTGTGTGGGGGAAGAAAAAAAAAGGCAACATCAAGACAATGCTCATTTTTCTAAAACTACATTTATACTGTACCATGTACTCAGGTGTCATGATTTTGAAAAATAATCGAATGCGGTTCACAAACACAATATTGATGGAGAAAAACTCCATCAATATTGTGTTTGTGATTTAATATGCAAATTTTTCACTTTTTTTTTTTAACAAACAAGCAATAAGTGAATCGTTATTAATTCGATTAATTGATCAGTTCGACCATGTGTTTAAGGTGTTCATTTACTTAAAATGACATTGTTGACTCTCAGCGCGGCGCGCATCATTTTTCTGCATCACACGACCGCCCGGTCGGTTGGTTTTATTGAACAGGGCGGTGAACTTACGAACGAATCGCGCGCGATGCACTTTACGTTTGCCGGAGGGGCCTGCGACCGGGCAACAAAAAAAAAAAAAGGGCTGATTTACAAGCCGCGTCCGCCGCGCCAGCGCTGACTGCAGCACATGTAAATCTTACACGCTTTTACACGTGATTCCGCATGAATGGCGAGCGCAGGGGCACATATCATCAAGACTAATGAGGGTGCGCTATCCCTTCCGCTTTGCGCGCGCATGTGTGTGTGTGTGTGTGTGTGTGTGTGTGTGTGTGTGTGGGTGTGTGGGAGTGGTTGCGTCGTCATCACGGATACGCCCATCTTGCTTTGGAAGCTGTCCTAAACCGCACGAAATACCAAGGTTCCATCTATTTTTGATGAGTGCATAAAGGTGACAAACAGACGCCGATTGTACTGGCATGTGCCTCGAGATGCCATTCAAATGAATGGAAATGCCAATAATCCGTTCTCGCAACCTTGAAAATTGGAACGCTTTTTTTTTTTTTTTTGTAAAAGGAAAGTAACACTCGATGATATTGTACCTGAAGTAGAATGGAAGACAATTTGACAGTTTGTCCATCATGATTTAGGGGCATGTTCTCCCTCTCAAAATCAAGTCTCATGCGCAGTCAAAAGCCAAAGAAGACGAGTTTGAAAGCTGGCCGGCGAGGGGGGCTGGCCAGTGTGAGGGGGGGGTGTGTCTTGCTGGTTGTGTGTGTGTGTGTGTGTGTGTGTGTGTGTGTGTGTGTGTGTGTGTGTGTGTGTGTGAACTCACAGCTCTCAATCTCCAGTGTACAGTTCTGTTCATCCAACGGGTATCGCCTCAGGTCCATCATGCAGGCGGCCGTCGTCGTGATTCTGAGTCCAAAGGCCAGCCCCCCCACACCCCAATAAAAAAAAAACATATTTATTGGTTGGTGTCAATGCTGCATTGCAGTATGAAGAGGAAAGACCGTCGAGTAAAAGAGCAGATGTACAGGATTACGGTATACTCACACCAGGCCACATAAACTGTCGTGCATTATTTTATATCAGAAATTAGCCGATGATGTTTACGTGACCTTTGCCGTAGCAATGACGTGACGCAATCATTTTTGTTTCTGGCATTTCAAAAATGCGGACCTCAGTAGAAAATCTCAATTCTCCCGAAAACTTCAGTAAATCAGGCCCTGACGTGCCCACGCGTGGCACACCCGTGTAACTGAAAAGGTATCAGACCCGACGAAGCGGCGCCGCTTTACCTGAGGCCGTAGAGGACGGTGCCGTCCGGGTGCAGCCGGATCATGCGGTTCTTGACGGTGACGCCGTGCACGAAGGACTTCTTGTCATTGAGGAAGTAGGTGTCGGGCACCCACAGCTGGTCCGCCACCCGATTATCCAGGGTGAGGTTGAGGGGGATGCCCAAGTAGGCCAGCCGCTTGTCCCGCCAGTACTGCTGGAAGTACATGGTCAGCGTGTAGTCCTGCAGAGGGAGAATTGCGCGCAGCTACCATTAGCAATTCTACCGCGGTAGACGTTCACATTGCTTGTCGTGGTTTCACACAGCCTATCAAATGGAAAGACAGCAGCGTGACATTTCATCATTTCATACCCGTCACCAGTTCTGCGTAAAAAGTATACAAATGGAAATTCTGTTTGGGCTCCCGTATTTTTTTTTTTTTTTTGCAAGAAGGCTTTGTGAAAGGGTTTGATGGATGGATTGATAGATCCTTATAGATGGATGGATCAATAATTAATAAAGGCCCTCATTGACTCATTGGCTGCATTCCACCACTGATCCAGCGCAAACACAAAAGCTTTTGCAGCCTTTTAATGGAGCCGACTGGACTTGATTCTGCTGACTAATATTCTCTTAAATAAATAAGCAGGTCACAGGAAATAAACAAGCCTCCGCTTCAGTGACTCTTCACGTTGGGAACGAGCGTGCATGCATGTTCAGCATGCTGTGCCGTGTACGGGCGGTCTTGGCTGCATGACCTCCCCGTGTAGGAAGGTTGGAACGGCGGTCTGTTGGCAGGGCCGGCTGCAACCCATCTAAACTAATAAATATTACTCGTACACTCGCCGCCGTGTAAAAGTGCTGACCTGACGCAGATGAAATGATGGAAATGCAGTTTTTGTTTTTGGTTTTTTTTCCCCGTGGAGGGAGAGTGTAAGACTGCCGCAACGTGTAACAACTGCAACATTCTCTGAGTTAGGAGTGAATTACTGTACACTCACATAGGGAACTGATTTCTTGCTGCGGATTTCATGTGAATGGCCCGACTGTTTACAGGAAGCGCATACGCGAAAGGACATACCATTACTTTCCCCGCCCCCCCAAATGCTTTAAACATATTAAGACACGCTTTTTAACGCAGTCCTTATTTTCACTCTCCCTATGCCAGGAAATGGGAGACAATCATCTGACATCACTTTGAGGGAATGAAAAGCAGACTCTCTCTCAGTTCTACAAAAAAAGAGACAAAGCATTTTTGCTTTAAGCTTGGTCACTGCCCGGTGAAGTAAAACTGACAAATGAAACAAAACAGAATCAAACATTGTATATTTAAACACCAAAACGTTCAAGCAAACCATATAACTTCATCTAACAATAGTCTGCTAGCTTAATGCTAACATCACGACGCGGTCATACACTCGAGGCGCGCGACTTGAAATTCAGACTTGTCTATCGACTGAACAAATTGTACGATGCGGTAAAATGTGGCAATATAGCGCTAGCCACAACAATGAACCGCAATACAATGGGGGTTTACTGTACTTTCTTTTTAAAGTTAGCTATGAATATTTATATATATAATATATATCTAAAAGCGGCAGTGGTGCAGAGGAGAGCTGCTGACGAGAATCGAGTGAGATGAAAAGCAGGTGTTGTTGTGAGACGTGAAGTCCGCCCACATGCAGCAGCACCGGCAGAGTGGGTCGGCTGAATCAGCTTTTTACACAACAACGCAAACTCCCACCGCACGGAAGCGGCTCGGTGTCTGGAGCGCCAAGCGTTTGAAATCTTTCAGCATCTTCACGTTGTGACCTCTTGCTGTATATGGAACCTGACCGGCCTGACAGGCTTCGATGACGTACAGTCGTACCTCAATTTCCTTTCGTTACCAAGATCTGAAGCTTGGTTTCACATTTGTCACACAGCAATTCATATTTTAACTCACGACACAAAACAAAACAAACAAAAAATAAATAAATCCACCAAGCGGTGGATCATACCGGGAAAAACGTATATTTTGACAAGGAAGCACCCTAGTCCAGATGCTCACTTTTGGATCTGTGTGGGTGCTGATTGTTGTCAGACAATTTGGACCTCGGGAGAGAGACAAAGAAAGGTTTTCACTCTCTGATAAATGAGGCCCGGTGGGAAGACGGCAGCGCCTTGCCATACCGGGGCAAAGACACGTGTCAGACGTGCGACCTGTCACGCTAACACCTGCCTATCTCCTGGGGATGGCAGAGAGGAGCTCGAGTGGAGTGAGAGGCTCCAACCCAGACACAAGGGGAGGGTGGTTAAGGTTCATGAGAGACTTCCCCAGTGAAATAAATGTGTGCCATGTTGTTCAACAAACCAGATGTTGAATTCATAGGGCATTAATAAAAATGGGCTCATTATAAATGTGTGTGTATGTGTGTGTGTGTGTGTGTGTATGTGTGTGTATATATATATATATTATTTTTTTTGTTGCGTGGAACTTACCATATTCACTTCGGAGACCATGTCTATGCTCGCCACGTCTATGCTCATGCCAACAGCCACAGGGGCACCTTCAAAAATAACACAACTAAGCGTGTATGTTATTGCATACAAATTAATACAATTATTATAATTAGTCATGAATTATTCTTACCTCCAAAGTCTGGCCTGAGACGAATGTCATATCCTTTTAAAAGTTTGTCCACTGTGTCTTTGACGAAAGACATGTTGCCAGGCTCTTTGACGCTAAAAGAGAAAATGACGGCCATTTTAAAAATATTGGAATATAAGAATAGTTGAAGAAGAAGAAGAAGAAGAAGAAGAAGACGAATACAAAGCATTAAAAGAAGTCATCCTTGGCGCCAAGAAGCTCACCTGGCGCATGCGCACATCGCGGCTATGACCAGTAGCCAGGAGTGCCACCAGCACGCTGCCCGGGGTACCGTCATACTCCCAGTTAAGGTGAGCTATGTGGCGCGCTGCAAGTCGGCGCTTCGCCCCGTCGCCTCGCGGCGGTCGGTCGTTCCCTGCCTTCCCTCCCTGCTTCCTTCCCACTCTTCCTCTCTCTCTCTCTCCCCGTCGATAACCGCCTAAGTCAGGTGAGACTTCACCCACACGACGACACACGCTTGAACGCGCCATCAATCCACCGCGTGACGTCCCACGCAGTACCTCTTGCTCCTTTTTGGCAGCTTGTCACGTCAAATCACGTCCTTGCGTGCTTTAGATTCATTTGTGTGCATGTGGAGCGCTAATGAGAGAGGCAGGGGTGGGCAAGCTGGGGGTTCCCAGCTGCCAGTGGCGGGAAATAACCAAGTACAAGCAAGTACAGTACTGCATTTATTTTTCTTGATGACTCGACTCAAACTCCCTCCATTTGAAATCTATACTTTAGACGCCATACTTGGTCCAAATACGTTTTTCATCCAAAGTGCAAAATATGTCACTCGAGAAAGTCAACCGAGTCTCTGATCTTGATCACTTGAGAGCTTTGGAGACTTATGTGGCATATAGAAATAGGGACAGCTGTGGCATGGAGAACGGTGAATCAAGAATTATTATCGACAACGGCAACATTTGGTGAAGCAAGATATTCCCTATCCGTGACCATGGACTTGGTAGCAGTAGTGTTCAAAAAACAATTTCAGATGTCAAAAATAGTCAAATCTGCAACAAAAAAAAAGCTATGGTGTTTGTTGTTGTTGTTATTATTAGCTATTTGAGCTTTTTTTGTGTGTGTTAGTTTGCAATGTTTGCAAAAGAGGTCCATGACAAATTTAACATCTGAGCCAATGCTGACTCATGATAAAAAATATAAAACAAATATCATCTTGCTAAATTATCTGAACTATAAAACTGACAGTTTTAAAAAAATGCTTAGTTAATACAAAACAGAGTTTGTGCTTTTTTGGGGGTGTTGTTTCTTAAGGCAATTTTCGGATCAAAAGAAAGCCAATCGACATAAAATGACACTCACCTGGTATCGTAGATGGCATGCAGCTTTTTGTTGCCATCAACGGCGTTCCTGTAAATAAAATAAAAAAAAATGCAGTTGGAACCTGTTCAGAAACGGATTCCAATTTACAATGTAAAATATTCATATTTATATCAAGGAGCCTCCTGAAACAGTGGAAAGACAGATGGCGCGTGGGGCCACTCAACTAGGGACAGCGGTAAAAGTAAATAGCGAGCTTGTTTTTGAAGGGAAAAAAAGCACGTAAAGCGAGTTGACAGCCTCCCCAAAAATATCATTGCCCTGATCGATTCAGGTGGTTCATTTGCCTCTAATTTAGCAAAAGTCGACACTGTGAGCCAAACATTTAGGTATAAAAAAAAAAATCTGTACACCCGCCACCCTAGTAAGCATAAGCGGTACAGAAAATGGATTGAAAAATTCATTTACTGCTTGTGTTTGTTTAAAAAAAAAAAACTACATAGGAAGAGGACATTGAAAATTAATCGCAGATTAAATCGTAATCGCAATTTCAAGGGGAAAAATAACGCAATTGTAAAATGCTTCCCGCATCTCAAGGCGCCACCTGTGTTCATTCAAGTACAATTTCTTGCCACTGGAATTTCAACACGTCACCCAACTACAAACCATGAACATGTCATCATTAGTATTATTTGTGGAACATAGCGGTCAGAAGCGTGGGAACAATAAGAAATAGATCCAGTCGCCTTATCAAACCTCTCTCTCTCTCTCTCTCTCTCTCTCTCTCTCGCCCCCCCCCTCCCTCCAAGCATCTTCACTCCTCCGCCACTGCGCACATCCACCAGTGCTGCTTCCCGCCCTCTCCTCTCGTCCTCTCATTTGCCTCCTCATCATATTTTATACCTTTTTTTTTCCTCCCCTTGTTTTTTCCGCGACGCCTAAGCTGGAATGATACTGATGCTTTTCTAATTATTTTTCTATTTGAACGCCACGTCTTTTTTGGGGGGGGGTTCTTTTTTCAACCCCCATTCTCCCCGTCTACCAGATCGTTGACGGCAAATTTGGAGTGCCGCTCCGGGAGAGCCTGCTGACGGGCAACGCTGGAGGACGAGAGGTAGTCGTCGTCGTCTTCTTCTTGAAGGTAAGGGGTCGGGGGGGTTGGACTTGGTGTGGGGAGGCGGGGGGTGGGTGCTGTTTTACTGTGTGGAGAGGCTCATGTGTGGTGCAGGGATGCAGGTGGAACACTTCCAGTAGGTTGTGTTGTTTTTAACCAGTTCAATTCATGTAGCTTAATAACTGAAATATTACAATCAATAAACACTTGAATACACTTGAATTCATACATGTAAAAAAAAAAATACTAAATCATGAAATAACCAATTTATGATAAATAGTCATGAAAGAAATGCAACATTGATACGAAAGAATAATACCCAAAATAAATATAGAATGTTCATATCACAATCACATCACACCGATTGAAAATATTGAATCGCAACAATTAAATATCATCAGGTATCACAATACAAATATTCATATCAATGATATGATACCATAATAAATATTAAAAAACAAACTAAAGAACCTTGAAGATTTTCAGTTATTAAATTGCAATTGGACAAATTAGAAATACCCAAAATTTATATTGAATAATAAATAGAACGTGGAAATATAATTTGAAGAATAATTATTGCAACAGTAGAAATATAAAGAATACCTCACATAAATAATATGACTCAATAACAATTAAGTGACAAAAGAATGAACCTTGCAAAATGAAACACATTTTAAATTAATGCAATAATAAATACCTCTTTAAATATTAAATACATTTATATAACAAATAAATATTAAGTAATAAATAAAAAGAAAACATATTAAACCATTTAAATGAATGCTTCGGGAGAATAAAAATACCAAAAATATTGACGAAAATGGATACCAACAATGAAAATATCTTTGTCAAACACAGTTTTTAATCAACATAGTGATAACACATAACACCAAAAGTGGTGCAGAAAAAAAAAATGCCCAGCTTCTTTCTGACTTGTTTCTGTCACAAAGAAGCACAGTGATGTCTGCAACGGCAGAGCATTTGACAGCGCTTGTGCTTGATATCTTGTGCCCGTCTCCGTTTTTTGGAGCACAACTCCTAACGTACCCTTGTTTCGCTCGAGATGATCAGGAGTGCGTTTTGGCCGCAGGAATGGGCGATGGAATGCACCGCAGCTTTGCAATGAGATGCACGTGGCTCTGCTTCTTGCTCGCCAGCCTCACCTGCCGCCCGTGGTGAGTGTGTCGCATCATCATCATCATCATTATCATCATATGTGATGAAAATAATACCGGGTATTTGACATATGATTGTCGTTGTCCAGCCTCCAGCAGGAGGCGACGGGGACGCCCACCGAGGCAGAATTAATTAACAACATCACCGTGTTCACGCGTATCCTGGACGGACTGCTGGACGGCTACGACAACAGGCTGCGCCCCGGATTGGGAGGTAACAAATTATGTTCACAATACACGCATTAAATAATAATACAGTGGAGCCTCGATGGGTGAATTTAATTTATTTATATATCAAATCAATTTTCCCCATTGGAATGAATTGGACTGCCATTAATCCGTTCCAAACTTTCTTTTTCACATTTTTGCTAAAGAAAAATATCACTGTATAGTGAAATATAAAACTGAACATAAAGAAAGTGGTTTAATGAACTGTATTTTTCACTTTAGTCCAACGGCAGCGTCTCTAAAGCGCATACATGACTAAAATTTTCACCCACATCACAAAGCAAAACAAAAAAAACAACTGAGCCACGGCCCGTTAACCTGAAACGCTCTAAGTTGGAACACTCGTAAGTCAAGGCACCATGGTAGCTATGTTGATTCATTTGATTTGAAATTGGATGACATCATTGCCAGTTACACAGCTTGGCGGGATGTCAAGGAGGCGTTAAGCCCCATCTAGTGGTGAAGACTTGTTAGTCCATGTTTGTCAACTTTTCAATGAAATGGATGACTTTTCTTACGAGGGCTGGCCGATATAACCTTAAAATGAAATCTCCCCACCTCAGGTAGTTTTTTCATTAAAAAAAAAGCACTTAAATCCAATAACATTTCTTCTTCTTTTTTTAAAATGGAGGCAAAAGCTTCTTAAAATAAATAAACAAATGAATAAACAATAATCATCTTAATTCTGGCAGGACTGTTTTTTCGATTGAGAATTTTTTTTTGAACTTGGAAAAAAGATGACTACTTTCGTTAGACTACTACTTTTTTCTGAAGAATCTGACTTTTGAAAATGTTTTTTTAACCTAATTTAGAGAAAATACTACTCTCAGGATCACTGTTAAAAATGTTTTTTTCATTAAAATATTCAAATTCACAACAACAACAAAAATTCTCCTAATGGCTTGCTTTTTTCCTCAAAAAAGACAAGTGTATCCTAGTCAGTTGATTTGGACTTTTTTCTTAGCATGTTATTCCCCCCATTGTGTCATTCCTTTGTAAATGTTCACAAATGTTAACTGTTGACAACTGCTCTAATGTTGTCTCTCACTCCAATTCCAATTGTAAATTGTCTTCAATCATCTGTTCTCTCCAATCCTACAGAAAAGGTGACAGAGATCAAAACCAACATTTTTGTCACCAGCTTCGGTCCTGTTTCGGACACAGAAATGGTAAGACTTCAACATAACGTTACTCAAAAGCTACAAGCACTAATGAAACGATCCATCGCAATCCATTTCCATGGCAAAATCCTTTCGTTTGAATTTGACAAAGGTATGAGCCCTGGAATTTGCCCGAAATGGCTGTTTCAAACCAAAATGGCCGACTTCCTGTTCAATTGTGTGCATGAAGCTGATATGTGCGCCCCGTTATGATAGACATGTCCACCCAATTCTTTTTCACAAAATTTTCCAGAGGAGTCAGTCTTTTGAGTCAGAAATGACAGATTCAAAAAAAAAAATGGCCTGTTCAATTTCAGGAGTACACCATCGACGTGTTCTTCCGCCAGAGCTGGAAAGACGAGCGTCTGTGCTTCGAAGGCCCCATGAAGATGCTGCCACTCAACAACCTTCTGGCCAGCAACATCTGGACGCCCGACACCTTCTTCCTGAATGGAAAGAAGTCCATTGCGCACAACATGACCACACCCAACAAGCTCCTGAGGCTGCAGGACGACGGCACGCTGCTCTACACCATGAGGTACCTCACAGGCCGTTTACTTTATAACACACTCACCAGTAGTGATACCTTGACTGAGAAATTGCCCTTTTAGATTTTTTTTTTTACCCCCAAATGAAGGTCCGTCCTTTGGTTGATTTTTGCTGTGAGTTGTGAGACCAAATTTTACTCGCACATGAGCTCAGACCTCTTTTTGTGCTGCCAAAACCAATTTGGTGTATAAGTGAGTTGAGGTGGTTCATTTAGACAAAAGTAGTCTTTTTCTGCCATCACGTGGCATCTCCAAGCGCTAAGAGTACAGTATACACCTTTTTGGGGAGCTTGTCGATTACTCTCAAACCTAAAACGGGTTGTAATGCCTCTTGATGTCACAAGGTGACAGCAAATCTTCTTTCCCGCCTAACTCAATTAAACAAGGCTGTTGTCGAACTAAATGTGGTTCCTTGGCCCACGATGCCATGAAAAGGGTGTAAAAATGATCTTATTAGACACGGCTTTGGCCTGCGCACAAAAACAGAGAAAAGGAGTGGCAGAGTTTTGAGCAAATAACGGCGCATGGGTTACCCAAAAACTCTGTGAATGTTGAGTTGCGAAAATGTGTGCGCTGACTCTACATTGTTACATCGGATAAGTTTTATGTTTGAAATGATCCATCCATTATCCAGAAATTCCACATATTCACAGTTCAGCACCTGCAGACTCACCATTTATATTAAAATGTTCACTATTAAAAAAAGAAAAATGGGAATCATAGTGTCCACCCATAAGCAGATATTCTCATTTCACGGACCGGATCGGTCCCTTATCCCGAAAAAAGATGACTAATGAAAACTATTTTTAAACATAAAAAGTGACAGTGGAAAGTTTTATTCATTTTGATGTTTTACAAAACAAAATATGTTCTGCTTCTGCAGCATCACAGTATTTTTGCCACATTTCCATGATGACATTACAATTGCGTCCACACGGTGGGAGTAGCAGTCTTCATCAGGACTCCGGCCTCAATGACTTTTATAAGACTTAATGGACTAATCCTCCGTTTTAATCACACACATTTTTTTATATTCATGCACGGATTGATTTCCATTGTTTTTTTTTTTTTCCAGACTGACCATATCTGCAGAGTGCCCCATGCAACTGGAGGACTTCCCCATGGATGCGCATGCCTGTCCTCTTAAGTTTGGAAGCTGTAAGTATAACCCGAGGCGCTTCTTTTGTGACGTACAGGAAGCAGCGCCGGTCCTTAAGCTTTTGGGATTAATCACGAGGGGCTTCCCTGCAGTTGGCACACGGGGAGGAAGACGGTTGCGCCCGCTCCATGCCAAAAGTCACTTAGATTAATTGCAAGGTAGACTTAAATACACACCACTCTGAATCGAACGCTCACAGGTCAGTTCATTCGGTAAGCCTACGACGGCCTTCACCAATCTGTCTTTTTTTTTTTTTCTCACTATCCCCTGCGGATAGCGTGAGTCCACGGTACCTGTGTATCCAATATTTTCTGCTCGTTTAGCTTGGTTATGCAAAAGAATTAGAGGAGGAAGCTGACGGAATAATCAAATTATGGAACAACACAAAATGCTAACTTCTGAGCTGCTTTGGGTTTTTTGGAAAGCCTTTTTAAAAATACATTAATAAAAAAAAAAAAAAAGGCTTTTGTGTGATTTGCCGGGGCCTTGGATGCTATCAGCGTCGTATCCGGTTTCTGCGACTCCATTAACCCGAGCTAATCCTTTGACCTCCGTGGATGGCGCCTCCCTGGTTGGCCCGCTTTCCGGCCATGTTTATGTACTCCAGGCTCACTCAACGCTGCAATGGTCCCGTTCTTGTACACGTTAATCACCTCTCATGCTCTCGCAAAGTTAATATCGCTAGCTCAGCATTCGCTAGTTTCGCAAATGGGAAGCTGACATACTCTGGTATAAACAGTTTGTTTGTTTTTGTTCTTTTTAAACAGATATGCTCATGTTAAAAAAAATCGCCATGAGCCATGCTCAAATTACAAATTCTGTTCAATGTTTTCTACCTTTTACAGAGGTTAACATCTTTTCATGGTTGTTTAAAAAATAAAAAAAAAAGGATGGATTTGGAGTGAGAAAGAGCTGTGTCACAAATCCGCTGAGTTTTTTTACATTCAGACAATACGTTTTATCGTTGTCTCTATTAACTCCACTCACTAAGAGCACTTTGAAACAACCGCCGCTGGATACAAAGTGCGGAGCAAAAATAATTCGTACAACAATAAAACAAATAATTAAGAACAAAGACAGTAGAAAGCACAAAAAGAGCACAATGAAAAATCAAGTCTCATGCTGAGTCAAAAGCCAAAGAATAAAAAATGTGTTTTGCCCTCTGAGCCCCCCGCTTAGTTCTCGGTACCTCGAATAATGTCTGGGCTCCAGACCTGAATCACCGGGCACGAGCATAGCACGTTCCTCCACATTGACAGTCCCAAGCCTGCGTATTTTTATTAGAATGCGAATGCAGCAAAAAGCTGCGAGTAACTGATGCCCACCCAAAAATATTTGGAATTTCTCATAGCTGCCACAAGATTTTTACCCTAATAGACAAACAAGGCTGCCACCTGACTAAACAAAGCGCCTTCCCTCTCGTCCAAATGCCACAGATAGTGCCCAAGCAATATATTTAAGCTAGACATGGTTTTGGCTTGGCCGACTGTTTAGCACGTCTGCCTCACAGTGCAGAGGTGCAGGGTTCGATTCCAGCTCGGGCCTCTCTGTGAGGAGTTTGCATGTTCTCCCCGTGCCTGCGTGGGTTTTCTCTGGGTGCTCCGGTTTCCTCCCACATTCCAAAAACATGCGTGGCAGCTTCATGGAACACTTAAAATTGTCCTTCGGGGTGCCTGTGAGCGCGAATGGTTGTTTGTCTCTTTGTGCCCTTGCGATTGGCTGGCAACCCGTTCAGGGTGTCCCCCGCCTACTACCCGAAAAACTGGCCTGAGCAGAAAAACAGTGACTGAGCATTATCTGTTACTGGTATGTGCAATATCAATCACCGCTGTATATGTTTGCATACCAACAGCTAGAATGTTCGTATTTTTCATCATATCTTTTTTGAAATACCGCAGTCCCTGACTAATCCAGACTAATATTTAGCTTTCTCTCTGCTCGAGTTACGCTCTTGCTAAATGTTAACACACTCACGTCAAAGAAGGAGTTCAAACAGACAATGGACGGACGGGCTGGTTACAAGACACCCTAATGTTGTTGCGGCTGGTCAGAGACAATAATCCCGGCGGGGCTGAGGTCAATCTGGGGATATTGAAGACAATCTGTGAAGTCTTCTGACACCACAGTTGTGGGATTAGTGCTCGTAGATTGGACCGCGGAGTGCCACACAAACACAGACACACACACACAGATTTAGTAACGGGGTTATACTTTGCGATTGGTTTTCGCCTCACAAACTGTAGCTTCTATCGCACATAGTTTCCGCAAAAATTGGTGCGACAGAGTCGTGACAGAAGGCCCAATATTTGCCTACCACAGAACCTACCGCAGCAGGACATTGTGCGCTTTCCCCGCAGGGCATCATGTGTGTCTCGTGACCTGAAAGTCTGACCTATAACGCGTAAGAATAGAAAAGATCGCGGTTGATATCACGCAGATAGCTTCAATTGAAAGGGGGTAAATTACCCGCTATCGTTAAATGTATCCCAATTTCAAACAGAGTCATCGTTTATTCTGATAATGTTTTGTGAGCTGACTTCATTCTAGAAGCAGGCTTTTTTTTTTTTTTTTTTCGCCAGTGTGAAATTGATTTCAACGCAACAGGGCGGGAGAAGTGATTGTCAGGTGGTCAACCTCACATTGCGGTGCATGGAAGGCGGGGGTAATTTTTTTGTCCCGTCAATGTCCCACGCCTGTTTGCTTAGCGCCTCCCTCCGATTCCCCATTCAAAGCGCCAATTCAGCATTTTACATTTTAAACCCCTCCATGAACATAAATTAGCTGCGAGAGAACGTCGTGTACAACGGCCGCCGTGTCTGCAACCAGCGTATTGTCAAATACATAAAAAAAATGATCGCAATGATCCAACAAATGGTTTTGCTTGTTTTCAACCTCTTTGAGGAATTTGACGCGTGATTTTTTTCCTTTTTTTAAATGTCTGGAACTCTTAATGAGCAGTTCGTGAGCTCGAGCAGCTGAAGCTAAATCAAGGGAGTCAAAACACAAAAACATTGTGTGAGAGGACATTTAGTCAATTTTTCGGAGATTGTAAACGAGAATGTTTTTCAAAACTTCTGCTTCGTGATGTGCTTTTGCCATCCAAAGCGGCGGTGTTGTTGTTGTTGTTGTTGTACTAAAAGCAAGCAGCCAAAATTGACATCTGGCTGCTAGCGATGTGACTTCCAGGCAGCCCAGGTGGCTATAAAGAAGGACGCTTGTCGGACCAGCGCGAAGACACGCAGATTAACTTTGAACACTTGTCACTGGTATGATTGCAGTCAAAGGTTGAAAGAGCACAAATTGAATAGAAAAGTCACGCAACCTGTCCTTTACTCAACTCTATCATCCACATTTTGTATGCATTTACATGTATGCGCCAAAATGTAACAATAAGCTTTCCTTAAAAGTTACTGACACTAAAATGAGTCATCCATTTATGCATAAAGAATTGCGTAACAAAATAAATGTAACCTGTGTTAAATGTATGTAGAATATTTTATTGTACTAATATACAATATATTAAATGGCGGGCCTTGACTCAAAGTGTCCCAAATTACCATGACAACGGAAATGTTTTGCTCCCTCAGATGCATACCCGGTCTCGGAGGTGGTCTACACGTGGGATAAGGGGGCAGCCAAGTCGGTGGTGGTCGGCGAGGAGGGCTCCAGGCTCAACCAGTACCACCTGATTGGTCAGACGGCCGGCACTGAGGACATCTCCACCAGCAGAGGTTAACCCACGCTTCTTCCATTAAGCATAGATAATTTTATATATATACATTATGGGCTAACCCTCAGGGGGTGTATGCCTTAGCTCCCTCTGTTATGCGCGGAAGAAGAAAAAAAATCTCCACTGGGCTGTTTTTGTGCTCATTATTGCTCTGGCGCCCTCTGGTGGCATCCTAATGTCAAAGGCGGATGCCGAAGTTAGCTTCCTTTCGACACAGTGTGTGTAATAATAGCAACTTCTGCCTTCCATGTTGGCAAGCTGACAGTCAAAACAACGAAGACAATTTTGCATTTTGAGTACTCAGGTCGCTGTCTTGATATTTGCAAGCATACCAGATGCTAGCATGATAGCATTTGATCTAAGGTAGACGTGCTAGCGCCAGCGTGAGCCATGCCAACTCTCGGCATAGCACTGTCGTCAAAATCAGGCAAGTAAAATATGAATGGACTATGCCAATAATGAATCCTCTAAAGAAATCTAGTAGTCCAACGCTCACACAAGGCAATATTACGACGCTGACATTGAATGAAGGTTTATATAACTACCATCGATACTGCTTTGGGGTAGCATCTAACGCAAATAAGCATTTCCAAAGCGAGGAGCAACTGTACAACCTTTGCCACCCTGCAGACACTTTTAGAGGCAAATGTTTGCAAATCAAGCCTGAGAGGGACAGCAAGTACATCACACGGATTTGGGAAGGCCTCCCACACACCGCCAGCTGTATCCCTCCCCCCAACCCCTTCCAAGTCCCGCACTTGCATATCGTCCCAGCTATTGGTTGTGCAGGGTTAATCCTCACGCGGTGTCCCTCAGTCAGTTGTGCTTTTATCAAGTGACGTCATCACTAGCGGGATTGGCCGCAGTGGCAGTGCCACGTCGGGGCGAGGAGGGAGGGCCGAGTGGCATCTGCTCTATTCTCTTGTGTAACATAGCATTCATGATGTCAAACCTTTGTTGCTACCTTGCTATATGTTAGCATACTGGCTGTCAGCATGTGAAGCAGTCTAACCTGTCTCAGCTGTCCATCGAGGTGGTGGATGTTCAAAGTTCCTATTACGGGTCCAAACAGGTTGCCGGGCTGCTGGAGGTTAGCATGTTTAGCATTTGTGCAATTGCCATTGGAAATAGGCTGCGCACATGTGCCGCAATTTGAAATAATACTGTACTAAAGGGCATGATGAAAAACCCTGATCAAGCTGCCTCAGTAATTGTTTCTAGCAATATTGTGTGTTAGCAACTTAGCGTATCAACAGTTAGCATATTATCATTCTACTTTTTCAGAAGGCTTTGAGAAGCACCCCCCCCCAAAAAAAATGTAAGGAAAAATTGCACTGTATTTAAAAAAAAAAGTAATATCCATATATCAATCAAATATTTAAACAGTTTTGAAACTCAAATTCAATGGAATTGTCTATCTACGTCTTATTTTGCCATATAGTTTTTGCTCAAATTTTATGTTGCTGTCATTGTGTGAAAAGTCAAAAGACTCCAAGCCAAAGTGTGTCGTCACTTGTTAAGTTAACAACTCTTTTTGAAGTAGATAAACAATCTCTCCTATTCATTCATGGTTTATTTTAGCATAAGTTTAACTCATAAGACCAAAACTTTTACGTTCAGTAAATGTGTCATTGTCTCCTGTAATATAAATTCCTTTCTTGCTTGTGTTTGTTTAAAAAAAAAAACACACACACATGGGAAGAGGATCTTGAAAAAAAAAATCACATTTTAAATCCCAATGACAATATTGAGGGAAATAAAATCTCAATTAGTTTATTTTGCCGCAGTTAAGGAATCCCCACTATGAATGACATGCAGTGGATGCTCTGTCCAATAGGATTCACTCTGGATCACAGCAACATGAAAGTAAGTGTAAAACCCTGCGCCACTGACGGCGGTGGAAATCCCACCGTGACGCCAAATGCTTCCTTCTTTAAGACAGACGGAGCCTCCAGACTTAATTAGCGGGGCTAATCTGAGGTACGAACCCTCTTTAAGCGGGCCGGGAATAGCTTGCATTGGACACGGGTGACCCTTGACCTGGTGCGTTAAGCCCACACCGAATGACGCCGGCAAACGGATGCACGTATTTCCCAACAAGCGCAAAACGGGCTGTATAGACGCCCGCGCTTACTCACCAGTTCACCAGCATTGCTGCGTTGTTCTCTGCGATGAAGGGCAGCTCGCCGCAGACGCTCCAAAATCCAAACGTTAAAGTCCACCAAAGCCGCATTTTTTTTTTGTCTTCTTTATTTTTATTTTTCCACACCTGCCCATCCACGTCGGGGGGAAACAAAACCCAAAAAACAGGGTCAAACATGAGCGGCGGCGGGGTGACACCGGCGCCACCGAGCTCGTCTGACGGATGCTCGTCCGTTGGCCGAGGGCATGACGGATGCTTGTCAGAACGGCGTCCAAACTTTTCCCCACGGATGTCCCGCGGCTGCCGGCACCCCTCTAGCTGTCGCTCCGCCTCTGCCGCCTTAGTGGTGTCCCGGCTCAGGAGACAATGTGCCAATCCAGAGAGCACACACACAGACTCACACAGGATGCAGATTGTGACGAGGGATTAGTGAGAGAGGAAAAAAAAAATCGGATTTTGCCAGGAGAACGCGGCAGTCATCTGTGGATTTTTTTTTTTTTTTTTCCATGGGAGAGGAAATAAAATGCAATCTCCCGTTGGTTAACAGGATGATGATGATGATGATGACTCACCCAGCAACCCATTTATTTGGCTTTCACATGACAAATATGAGTGGGATCACACTCCCTGATTCCAGGAAAATTTAAAGAACAAGAGCGACAAGCAGCTTTTTTTTTTTTTTTTAATGGCAACAGTTGATGACAATATCTATTTTGGATGTTACGGCCAAAATGGCAATTCGCCATTTCACATTAACATTTTGATATCTGCAAGTCTCCAGGGGATTGCGGCGGCATGTCAACGCGCAGGAATCCTGTTTGTCTTCGATTAATACCCTAAACAACATGTCTGAGTTCAAAGGGCAAGAATCCTGTTTATCTTGACTGATGGCCACACCGAGATGGGTGCGCTCAAAGGGTCAACAATCCTATCTATCGTGATTAATACCCAAAACAAGAATCCAGTATATCGTCACTGACACCCAAAACACAAAGGCCAAGGTAAAGCAGTGGTTCTCACGTTTTTATTTTATTTTATTTTTTTACACCAAAAACCACCTAAAAAAAATCAATTTAACTCCCTAAGTACCACCATCATGACCAACATAAAAATACGGTCACGTAGTTGGCCCAAATGTTCAATCAAACACAAGGCGGGTTTTATTTCTTAAAAGTATATTTTATGTTATTATCATCCACAGTAACATTTACAGTGCACTTAAATAAATGTATTGCGTAACAAATTGAAAAAAATGTACCGACATATATATTTTAAACAAAGTTATTAAAGATTAAATGCAAAACGATTAAACTTAAATGTTAAACACAACTGAACTGTACTTAGGCAGTGATTCTTTAGTGTTCCACTAGAGGGAGCCTGCGTAGCACTGGACGTACGGTAGCACACCTTGCGAATCACTGAGCTGAGGCAAGGGTGTTAAAAGACACTTAAATTTGACACCCGTACTCTTGTCCAGCATCTTGCCTGAGTGACTGAATAACTTGTGTTTTCGTCAGGTCAGTACACGGTGATGATGGCTCACTTCTACCTGAAAAGGAAGATCGGCTACTTCGTCATCCAGACGTACATGCCGTGCTTCATGACCGTCATCCTGTCGCAGGTCTCCTTCTGGCTCAACCGTGAGTCCGTGCCCGCGCGCACCGTCTTCGGTAAGATGCACCCACCGTCTTGTCTTTTTTTTTTTTTTGCCTTGTGTTGCAAGCCAACATTTTAGTGACCGGAGAGCTTCAGATACACTGCTGCTCGAGTGAGTTGAAACGAAACACAGGAGAAAAAAGTATTGTGATGCCCTCGCATGTGGGCAAGGCCAGGCACCGTCTGACACATTCAGTCAAACAGTCAAATGTGATAACTCGTGCTCAGACACTCACACGCAGGCTCGCTGGCCAACCCAACTCATGTCACTGAGTAGGCCACGCCTCTTAAAGGCACACATGACGACTAGAGTATGTAATTGCACTTTATAAAACAAGTTAATTTCTTTACATTATATTTCTGTACTCCTGTTGGACTGGGGATATGTAATCAACCGCAGGTTGCTCCGTAACTGTTCAAATTAGCTTTTTAGAGCTGCTATTCACGTCTGTATTGATCGATCAAAAAGGTTGCGGTTCCCGCCCACGCAGGTGTGACCACGGTGTTGACCATGACCACGCTCAGCATCAGCGCCCGCAACTCACTGCCCAAAGTGGCCTACGCCACCGCCATGGACTGGTTCATCGCTGTGTGCTACGCCTTCGTCTTCTCCGCCCTCATCGAGTTTGCCACGGTCAACTACTTTACCAAGCGCAGCTGGGCCTGGGACGGCAAGAAGGCCATGGAGGCCCAACAGCCCAAAGTCAGTAGGCCTTCCAATTAGGACTGTAACGATTCAAGTCATTCGATTATCAACACAGTCAAAGCAAAATCTCTGCTATTTTAAATAGATTTATAGTTATTTTTTATTTATTTTTACACACGGATTTATGTCACTGCAGTCACACACACACAACTGTGATGGGTAAAGTTCTCGACACCCACGTCACTCACCAGGCCCGCCCCACCCTTTAAAAGCATGACGCACTCAGTCACAGATACTCCAGTAGAACATGTCAATGGTCAACCAAAGTGAATAAAAAGATTGCACCTCACATGTACGTTATTGTGTTCCAAAATGCCAACTTTTATCCAATAAGTTGATTAATCGATTGGGAAATTGCTTGATTCTAAAAAGATTCAAAAGCTGTAGCCCTCGTGCCCTAGCGAACTGTGTGGTGGTAACAAAGACAATTCTCCAGACTGTTTCCCTGTGCTCCGTCTTGAACACTATTTGACCCATTAAAAAAAAAAAACCACACATTTATGGCATTTATAATTTCAAAGTTTCAGGACTGCATAATGTATTTCCTTCCGCCAGCGTAAGGACCCCTTGGCGCTGTCCAAGAAACCCAACAACGCCTGCGCGGCCGGCGTCAACTACACGGCCAACCTGACCAAGGACGCGTCCGTGTCCACCATTTCCAACAGCACGTCCGTGCAGCTCAAGGCGGCCCCCGAGGCCAAGGGCGCCGACCCCAAGAAGACGTACAACAGCGTCAGCAAAATCGACAAGATGTCCCGCATCGTGTTCCCCGTGCTGTTCGGCACCTTCAACCTGGTCTACTGGGCCACTTATCTCAACCGGGAGCCCGTCATCAAGGGAGCCGTTTAGATGGAACTAAGGCGCAAAAGCCACCAAGCACTTAACGTTCCAAATGTCACCGTCTTGTTTTCATTTGAGGTAATTTCATTGCATGTTGCTTCTGCTACACCTAACCTTTCCTTCGTTGCCATGTTTTTCCACATTTTAAGCATTTGGATTTGATTGTCGTTCTCTCCGGAAAAAGGGACAGGAGGCATTGTGCCACAGTACAGTGAGGTTAATTGTTAGCTGGGAAAAATACCTGACAGATTTCGTCAAATTGGTAGCAAATATGAACCAACTAAGGTGGGTGATGCTCAATTGTAAGTGTTTTGATTTTTTTTTTTGTCATTTTGTATGGCTATAGTGGCAAAATTGTATGATTTGCTATAAAATTACAAACTAATAACTACGCAATTTTCCATTAGCAATGTGGAATTTGTAAAACATGTCTATTAAGACCCACAAAACACATTGACCCTCCCCCCCCCAAAAAAAAAGAAAAAGTCTCAAGGAAACCAACGGTCATCGGAAGGAAAACATTTCCGTTTGAAGCGGCTATGTGGGGGTCACTTTCAAAGGTCGGTAAAAAATAGGAAACAAACTCAACACGTTTGGGAAGTCAGCCCCCGAAGCCATTTTGACCGAACCACTGGGACTTTGGTAGCTGTGGCTATCAAAAGTGGATCCACAAAAAAAAAAGACTCAAGAAACCATGCCGGAAAAGACAAAAGGAAGTCAGACGTTTTGGTTTAAAGCAGCCGTAATTTTCAGGGGGTTATAAAAATGGGACACCACAGTTTTGAAAATTCTATCACTTAACAACCCAAAACTTTTGGAGCCATTTCCATCAAGAATAGTCCCATAAAAAAAGTCTTAAGAAACCAGACACAGGAAGTCTGCCGTTTTGATTTGGACGAGCCATTTTTGACTATTTTCTGGAGTCAATGAAACGTATTAAACTAAGTCCTTAACTTGAAAATTCAGCCGCCGCAGCTCATTCCACTGAACGACACAAACTTCTATCAAAAATAGACACACAAAAAGTCTCAAGAACCCCCACCTGAAAACACACAGGAAGTCAGACATTTTGGTTTGAAATGGCCATTTTGGGTCAGGTTTGCCTTCAAAAACAAATTTGGACTCTCAATTTCAAACTTTTTTTTCATTGAGTATGGGCACAGCATGGCAGCAAGGCCAAATGCTATGCAAAAAGTTGTGATTCTTTTTGTTCTTGGCCCACAGCAGCTTGTGTATAGCTTTTTTGAACGTTTTTTTTGTACAAATGTGGACATGTCGCAAAGCCATGCCAACCAACGTGTGATGCCTTCAGAGTGCTCTTTGGCGCACTCATAAATGTTTGGATTTTTTTTTTTTTTTGCCCCCTCCCCTCTGAAAATGTCCTTATCCTAAACATTTTCTCGCAACTTCTTTTTCCAGGAAAAAAAAATCAACGAGGAATAGAACACATTTCTTGCAAAAACATCAGTTTTTTCAGGTAATGTAACTTTTTTTTTTCTCCAAAAATGTCGATTTTTTTTGTTCCATGTAATTGCATTACATTTTTTTCTGCATAAAAATAGATGAAATCTAAGAGTAACTTGTTATGCTGTCTCAATTATATAGTATTTTTACCTTACTTTCAATTTGGATTTTGGTTTGCTACAATTTGTGTTTAGCGCTCATAAATTTCTGCCTTCGTTTTCTTTTCGGTGTGGCTTTAATGCTCGTTGGCTTTAATCCTCATTGGTACTTTATTTTCCCTATCCACGTCGTCGTATTTGTTTTTTTTAAATGCCATTTTTCCTGCATAAAATGTATTATTTATGTATACCTGTATTTCCATTTATTTAGCAACAACACTAGTATCGGAGTAGTTTTGATTTTGATTGAATACAGTGACGCCTTTGAACGACTTTAGTGTGGTTTTTATGAGTTTTGAAAAAAAAAACCTTCCAAGTATTTGTTTCTGTCTCCTGAGAATTCTGAAATATGAATGCAATGTATATGCCTCCTGAGTGGCCTGTCACCATTTTAAAAGAAACTTTTTGGGAGCACATGGATGTATGATACTTATCACATGAAAGTGCATTTTTAATATGGGCTGTTCTCCAAGTGCAAATAACTGAAGCAATAAAAAATGCTTTCTCGGAAAAAAAAAAAAAAACTTAAAAAAAAAAAAAGAACAACCATCATTCGAGTGTTAGGATTCTTTTTCTTGGCGGAAAAAAAAAATTCCTTTTTCCTCAAAAATCTTTTTAAACAAAATAATCGACAGATTCATCTTTTATTAAAATAATTGGCAGTTTGCAGCCCTCTGGTTTTGATTCTTTTTTTAAAATGCCGTTTACTTCCAAACTATATGAATTTCTTCTTGTACAATTGTGGCCTTTTTAAATGAAAACAAATTGTTGTGAAAGCGCGATATAAATCAGGATGTATCGTATTGCATTCTTACACTCCAGTTTTTTTTCTTTTGTTTTGTTTTTTCTCAGCAACATCAGACATGAGTCCAAAGCCATGTACTGTTTATTGGTTAACTGGCTCCCTCTAGTGGTACACGAAGGAATCACTTAAATTACATTTCAATCTGTGTAAGGTTAGCCTTTTATATTTCTCAAATTCATGTACATGTTTCAAGTACGGCTAAGTCGTATTTACTTTTGAAGAGCAATGCAATTGCATTTCATCTTTAAGAATTTTTTCTAACAATTATTTTGATACTTGATAAAACAAATACAGTGGACACCGCATACTTGCGGTTTCACCTACTGTATTTTTCTGACATATTTCATTTTTTTATTTATCGCTTACTAGCGGCTTAGCAGCATTTTATTATATATTAATTTATTTTTAATTTTATTCATATTGGGCATCAATTATGCGCATCTTTTCGCAATTTGAGGTCCGGCCCGGTCCCTTTCGCCAGCAAATAGTGGTACACAGAACAGTTTTTTCTGTTTTAATTTTCCCATACAGTGTTAATGTTCAAACTGCATACAATGATGTATTTTGAGGCGCTACATGCTATAAAAGTTTGAGAACCACTGCTAAGTGAGACCCGTGGTGGAAATAGCGCATGACGATATTAAAGATAGATCTAATCACTATATTCAAAGTTGCATTTCTCCACATGAAGCTTAATCTTCCTTAATGGAACAACAAGCCGGCGGCACGTGCTTGATTACACACGGCACGCACATGTCGGGTCGGCAGTTAGCGCACATATAAATCCATCTTTCAACATCTGGCTCACAGCTGCTTGCGGAGGATTTAGCTGCATTTAAGTTGCTTTTTGCGTCCTCGGCGCAGCGACTTAAGCCGCCCAGCGAGAACCGTCACGGCACAAGTGCAAACAGACGCGCCGGTTAACCTTTGGACGCACTTTTACCCGCGCTGACTGACGCACTCGCTCCCCAGATGGAGACGAGTCGTATCGTGGTCGCACCTGTATAAGCTTTCAGTTACCGTGGTCACGTAACAATTCAAATTAAATTACGTGTTTGTTCTGGTGGTCTTTACTGTGACTGATATATCTAACTAAAGTTCGAGTTGAATTGCAAACATGAAACAAGGATAATTATTTAGAATCATACATATTCAATCAAACAACATCCCTTGCAAATGTCCACTAACTAAATGCTAAACACACAATGCTAAACACCAGAGTGGCTAACAAAATTAGCATCGATGTTGTGAATACATATAACCCTTTGAATATTTTTTCTACACCCCCTGCCCCCCACACACACACAAATGACAAGTTTGTATTAATTTCGTTTTGTGGGAGTGACTTTTTTTTGTTTTTGAAAATTACAGATTTTTTTTTAATCTAAAAAAAAAAAAAAAGAATTCATATGTAGAAAAAAATTCAAGAAAAAACATATTGTCCCTGAAAACATATTGTCTTTTTGTCAAGAAGAAAAACACCTTTACCTTTATAAAAGCGTGACTTTAAAGGTAAATAGTATCCGTATTTATTCATCGCGCGTTTGTGTTCGTTGCAAGTCCCTTTGTGACCAGCAGAGGGAGGCAGCAGCTCAGTGATTCATTGTGCTGGTGACTCAGGTAACATCTATTTGATGATCATAGCTTGACATATTTTTAAATGAGTTGATGTTGAAATATTAAAGCCTCGTTCTCTCTTTTTTAAAATAATCTAATAAATACAAAAATTAATTGGTTATAAGATATAAGTCAAAATATTTTTTTTAATATGGAGTTGTAATATAAAGGAGCCGAGTTGTAATTTATTAGTAGTGTAGTATTTAAAGGTAAAAATTTGAGAAAAATTCACACACAAATGAAGTAATACTAGCATTTAAAAACTTATGTTTAATAAAATACTGCAAGGAGATCGCATGCCATTTTACAAATGTAAGCATTTACATAAATGCATAACATATATGATCTCACTTAATTCACTTATATGTATTACTCACCTATTATTTTTAATCACAATCATTTGAAAATAGTTATATAAAGACAGTCACAAAAATTAAGTAATATTTTGAGAATAAAGTTGTAGTAATATTTTGTGATAAATGCAGGAATATTTTGAGAAAAACATTATTTCCAGGGAATAATTACTAAATCCTCCATTTAATTAGTTACATATTTTAAAATAGTCAGTATTCTTGAAATAGTCAGAATATTTTTCAAATATCCACATTTGTTTTCATAGTCATATGTGTAAAAAGTATATATTTTTTTTCAAAAATGCATTCATACTACTTATTTAAAACATCATCACATTTTAAATAAAGTAATCATATTAAAAAAGACGTACTTAAAAAAAATGAAGTCATGTTAAAAAAAATCAAGGCGTTTTGAGTTTAATTTTTCTTAATGTCATGATAGAAACAATTCTACATGATGGGTGAAGTGTTTATGTCACGAGGAATATTTTATGACTGTAAACATTGAGATAAATCCGCGGAATCTTGAATTTCCTAATCATTAGTTAGCCTTTTTTTTGAACAATTCATAACAATAAAAGTCATAATTTTCTTCCTCCCTCCTCTTCAAAATAAACCTGCCCCACCCCTCTCTGGCCACCCAGGGAAACACTTGTCTCCAAGTATACCCATCCGCGGCTTGTTGCAGGCTTGTGTGTCACACGCATGAGGAAGAAGAGGAGGAGGAGGAAGAAGAAGAGTTGCACCTCTTCTCCCCAGCCACCTGCACCTGCCTCTCATGCACTGTGATGCGCAGCCCCCTTTTGGCATGATGATGATGATGAAGAGGAGGAGGTTGCGCGCCGATACCGCGCGCAATAGCCGGGCAACACCGGCGTCTTGGATATGAACTGAAAAGAAAAAAAAATGTCTTTCAGAGGAATGCGAATGGGATGAAGAAGTTCCAGAAGGACTTGGAAAGACTTAGCGCAAGAGACCAGAGGCTGTCGGCCAGCATGACCTCCGCTTGGTTGCCTTTGTTCCTCCTCTTCTTTGTGACTCTCAATGCAAGGTGTGTTGTTTATATTCGTTAAAAAAATCATGCAACAAAATGCGTAATAAGGGTAAAATTGAGGGTTGGAAAATTTGCCGTAAATGTCTTGAAAGTTGTTGGTAAATTTCCATGGGAAATTAAGATGGAAAAAATGTTGCCAATTTCACAAACTGGAAACTTTTCATGAGAATGATTGTAAATTTATTAACAGGGATTTGAATGGAAATGTATTGTAAACATAAATGAAAAAAAAAGGTTTTGTCGTAAGCAGACATCCATGCAAAAGAGATTCGATTCCAATTTCCAATTCAGTTTTCTATTTCTGGATGTAACTCATCCTTTTAAATATAGTAATGCCTTCAGATACAAATCGCCATTAATCGGTTCCGGTCTTCCCATTAAACCTACCCAAAAATATTTTTTGACTTTTTAACAAAGGAAAATTGTACTCTGCAATACCTTACTTTAAAAAAAAATGTATGAAAATGTTCCCATTTTGGTACCATTTTAGCTTCAGTACAATGGACATTGTGCTGCTCCATCTGGTGTATGCTCCTTGTCCACCTCGGGGCAGGATAACACAGACATATGGATACACAGTACTGTACATGAAGGAGACAATTATACCTGTTCAGTAAGCCGCAGTAACATTAGTGGTTCTTCACAGAGGACAAATAATATATATGCCTGTATGTATTGTTACTGCGTATTGTCTGACAACATGCGTTGTCCACTCTGCTCAAATACTTGATGGATTGACACCATGCTATTCACTAGCCTGTTAATGGCATTTATCAGTGTGTGTTAGCATTACGCTAAACAGGTTTATCTAAAGCAAAGCAATGCGATTTGGTTTATATACAAACAATTCTCTTGTCAGCAATTTATTGTTTAGAATTAACTCTAGGAGATAATTCCGGAAAAACAAACAAAAAAAGGAAAATATAAAGGAAAAATTAAATGAATAAAAATCTGCCAATATCCTGAACTGCAAGCATATGGGGTTCAGACCTCTCATGAATGCCCCTGGAAAGTTTCCAACTTTGAAAATACCTTAATTTTAATTCTAAATAAGAGCATCCTTGACTGACCCCAGGAGAGGAACAATACACGGGTTAAAGATGCAGCCAATAAATTTTGAAGGAATGGGATTTTTGGGGGTTTTTTAAGGCGCAAAGGGTAAGAATTACCAATTCATCAGTGGATGAGCGTACTGATTATATCCAATAGGTACGTCTGTGGGTTTAGGTATGCGGCGTCCGAATACGAGGACTACGAGGACGTGACGGTCCACCCGATGTTGTCATCCAAATCTCAGCAGTCGGACGCTACAAAAATCCTCAACGGGCTCCTCAAGGATTACGACCACAAGCTCAGGCCCGACATTGGAGGTAATTATTAAGATTGTTGTTATTATTGATAATATTCATACCGTCAACTCCCACGTCCATGGAGCTATGTTGAAGTGAGATGAGGAGCTTAATTTGGATAAAAGTAGGGCTTTGCTGCCAAGGAACTATGGTGAAGTGAGATGATGAGCTTCATTTGGACAAACGCTGCACTTTGCTACTATCTTGTGGCATCTTGCTTTTCATTTGTAGGTTCCCGGACGGCCTGGCTCCACTCTGTATGAATCCCAAAATGTAAATCAGGGTTGCATGATGTGAGAACATCGCAAATTGTAGCCAATCAAATGCACAATTGCAATTTCATTGCCATGGCGACACACCTTGCCCTGTCAGAAGCTCTCCCACAGATGACACTGATTGATTGATTGATTGACTCATTCATCCACTTTCATTGCTGTTATTTACTCGCAATTACGCAATCCCAGATGCTCTCCACGAACAAACCACTCCGTTCTGGATCTTGCGAGACTGCCGTGGGGGCATTCAAAACTCTTCTGTTGGTGTGTTTTGATGATTGAGGAGCCCCGATGAAAAGACGTACACTTCCACATTAGCATCTGGAGCTAGCTGCTAACCAGCCAGCTAGCTGTCACCTGGTCAGATCACACATTTGTCATCTAACCAGTCTCCGGCTAACATGAGAAGCTAAATAGCCAACGTCTTCATTCGATTCTTCTTCTAGTGTGAGGTAAATCATGTTTAGTGCTCTTACTGTTTTAGTTTGGAAGGTTTCTACTTCCTGTTGGTTTCATAGGCCCCTCAAGCAACGTTTTGTCGACAAAGGAGTATGATTAGTATTTGTTACTTAATGAGAAACACTCGCAAGAAGCTGCTATCAACTACAACTCACACCCGAAGGAGCGCAGAGTGATGGCATACACATCCATGTTAGCATGTAGAGCGAGCCACGAGCTAGCCAGCTATCCTCGGGTGTCCTGAGGAAAACAGTGAAGCGTTTCTCTCTTGATTTTCCACTCCGTTTGATCTTTTATTTAAAGAAGAAAGCAAAAGAAAAGCAAAGTTAATCCACCTGCTTTGATGAGTTTATATTGGAAATCAAAGGCGGATTATCCTGCGGTCTGAGAAGGAGACCCAGAAAGAAAAAGAAAGAAGATGCTGCCTTTCTCTTGCTCGCACTGAGTGGAATCGATCAGCTTGAACCTCCACGTTAAAGCGGCTTTAATGACGAAATTAAAGCACATTGTTCTCCTTTCTAGACAACATACAAACACACTCGCAATATGTGAACATGTGACAGAAGTAATTCTTTGGATCAAGGAGATAGACAGAACGCGGTATGCTTTGGATCATGAGCTTTTTTTCCCCTTTCAAGGATAGACACTTTGGATCATCACGTGTACATGGACTGCTAAACGTTGGATGTAGGATGTTGTATGCCTTGGAGTACATGATGTGGTATGAGTTGGGTCATGAGCTGTCCCTTTCATCGATAGATTGCCAGGTATTGGCCATTTGATGTGGTATACTTTGGAACATGAGTTGTCCTTCTACATAATGTACATTTTATCCAAGATTGGCTTGATGACCGGTGGGCACGCAAAGTGGTGAATGTTCTCTTGGCCTTAAGTGGTGCCTCACGTTGTACAGTATGTCCATCCATCCATCCAATTTGTAACAAAAATATACACAAGTGGCCAACGTGAATGTCACTCTTCTCTGCTAATTAGCATTCTTTTCCTCCTCAACAGTGAAACCAACGGTCATCGACGTGGACATTTTTGTCAACAGCATCGGACCCGTGTCCTCCATTAATATGGTCAGTCACGACACATCTACGGTTAAAAAAAATCGATTTATTTTGAAGCCTCAGAAATTGCCTTTGATGACAACAAGATATCTGCAAAAACCTGTTTTTTTTTTTTTTGTTTTTTGTTTACTTGAGTATTATGAGCTCTCCCTTTTTTGTTTTTTCTGTTAGTAACAAAAACAATTTCTACAAAAGAAGTGAAAATTTTCCTTTGGCAGCGTTTTGTTGACCGATCAGCGAGGCTGATCAATCACCTCCCAGCCTCGTGCCCGTCTCCATCTAATGGGGAAACTACAGTATGCCATAGATTAGCTGGCGGGAAATGTCTGGTCCTTTATGAAACCTACCTGCACAAATGCACTCTCACACCGGAAACCATTTCTTCCGTCTGCCATTGTATGCGTGATAATGTCCCATTTTTCTTGTTCCAATCCCCGCGGCGGCGCACAATTAAAGGTCATCAGCGCCCCGTGCTCCCCTTTATTGTAGGCGTGCTCGTAATTAGCCTGCTACTTGAGCACTTTTGCCCAAAGGTCAAACGCAACATGAAAATGTTTGGAAAGCTGGAGGAAGCCAAAATATTCCGCAAAGGAACGGTTGCCATGGGAATGTTCTGCTTTCTTGTATCACGTCAAATAATCATAGTAATTCAAGCCCCTCGAATCATGGCAAATCGTCAAGCTGGAGGTCCGGCTTTCCAGGGGTGCTACTGAGTGAGCAATGGCTGATTCAAACCAAAATGGACAACTTCCTGTACAATTTTGAGCATGGAGACTTTTTCTTGTGTCAAATTATGATAGATATTTCTACCAACATTTTGTGTTTATCTGTCAAGTTATAAGAGATATTTCTACCAACATTTTGTGTTTATTGGTGAAACTGGCACTGGGTGCTATTTTTTTTTCTTCCTCAAACTTTCCCATGGAGTCTACTTTCCTATTAAAATGGACAACTCCCTGTTCAATTTCAAGCATGGCTAGACAAGTCCACTGAATTTTGTGTCACTCGCTACTTTTTTCCCAAGTTTCCAAGGGGTGCCTACGGATGAGAAATGGGTGCCCCAAACCAAAATGACTGACTCTCCTGGTCCGTGAGACTTTTTTGTGCGTCAGTTTAGAATTGATTTGTTCACCCAATTTTGTGTCAATTGTTCAAACTGATGTCAGAGGCTAATTATTTTCTTCCTACGTTGGTTCTTCCAGGAATACCAAATCGACATCATCTTTGCGCAGACGTGGACCGACAGCCGTCTGCGCTACAACAGCACCGTGAAGATCTTGACGCTCAACAGCAACATGGTGGGCCTCATCTGGCTGCCCGACACCATTTTCAGGAACTCCAAGAATGCCGACGCCCACTGGATCACCATGCCCAATCAGCTGCTCAGAATATGGAACGACGGCAAGATACTTTACACCTTGAGGTAAACAAATTTCACCTGGCATAGCAAAATGAGTCCCACGTCGTGCAGGTCGGTTCCGAGATACGAAGCAATCATGGTTCAGTCGGTCAAACTTGTACCTCCTTCGTTGATTAAAAGCGCCATTTTGTTTGCTGTTTTCTTACTCATTTTAATAATTCGACGTTGTCGTGAGGTAAGATTCCAAACAATCCCCATGAGCTCTAGCATAGCAACAGTTACTATGCTATGTTTCCACATGAACTTGAACATAGCAACAGTTGCTATGCCCAAGTTCATGAACTCCAAAATACCCTGAAATGGTCTTTTGTCGTTCATTCAAGTAGCGTAGTGCATCATAATCACAGATATCTACCACTATAGCAACACGGCTAACCATCGTGCCTGCATGGCGGCCATGTTGACATGGGCCATTTTCCCATCAGGCAATATTTGGACATTGAAAATAAGTCGTACCTTGGTCGTCTCTCGACCGATTTACATGACGTTTACTTTTTTGTCAACACCAGAGTGTGTGCTGTCAATATACACAAAAAACAAACAAAAAAAAAAGCCACAAAAATAGTTTTACCTGTGAAATGTTACTCCCAGTTCACAAAGCGAGGGCATCCTTGGTCCTTTGGTTTTCTTATCCTCCGCATACATGGAATTGGCTTTGACCCACCTAGCTTAGCATCAGCGTAGACACGTAGCTCAAAGAGGGGGTGGGGTTGCTTTAACTATCAATATCTGTGGCAATGATGAAATGGGTAATAATAATATCATGTGTAGCGTAGCACAACAGTTGCTATATCACCGGAAATCTGAGATCATTCTCTTTTTGACGATGCCAAAATCTTCTTTTTGAAATCTAGATCACTGTGATTCATTTTGCTATGCCGGGACACAAATACGCTGATGTGTGCGCATCAAATTGAAAAGGGTTTCCGTGGCAACCTCATCCCAACACTCATTTCAATGGGACATAATGAAAAGTGGCCACTACCTTTTTAATATTTTAAATTTAATGACGTTGGTCGTAAATGAACTAAAGCACTACATGCTTTCAAGGTCTTTTATGTGACCCGAACTCGCAACTAATTTATCAGCCGCTCACAATTTTGAAGACAATTTCCTGTGTGAGTCAGAGAAAATGTGCCCTTGCTCCCCCCCACCGTTGGTAATTAACAACAAAAAAATCCAGTGACTGTACCACATCTCGTCTCTTTGCGCTTTATTTAACTCCTTTGTGAGGTTCACCTCGACCCCGCTCGACATCAACAATAAACATCAGGCACGGTCGTGTTGCGCCAGCCTCGTGTTCTTTGGGAATTTGCTTTTATGCTGATTTTAAAGGGCTTAAGATTGCAGCGAGATTGCACAAGAAGCGGGCGATGAAATGTCAGCAGGTATGAAATGCCTTGATGTGGCGGGAGCAAACAAAGATGACATTTGTTCCAGCTTTCACCAGGGTCGGAAGGAAATCACACGCGTTCTTGTTTT